GCTTGTCGAAGAAGATCTTCTTGCCATTTCTCAGACTATCCTGCAGCGCCACACCAATCTTAACCGCCTCCATTGAACTCTGCAGATCAATCGGCACCTCCTTGCCCTCGAGCACCGCATCAGTAAACTGCCTCGCCTCCTCTACAAACGCCTGCTCAAACCTCTCATAGTAGTTCTGCGGAATATCCCTGTGGATACCCGTAGAGATATGGCTCTCCAACAGTCCCGTCATGGGGTTCGAGTTGACGGCCAACTTGCCCTTGGTACCGATGATCTCCGTCATGTCGTGTTGGCCTGGGGCGTTCATGCGCGAGGAGTAGAAGTATGCGATCTGACCTGAGTGGAATTCTACGACACCAACGCCGTTGTCAACATCGCCGTGCTTGGCTAGGTCGGGCTCGAGCGCTGTGACGCCGACGGCCATAACGGACTTCACTACAGGCAGTGTCTTGCCCTTGCTTTCGGCAGAGAAGTACCAGAGGGCGAGATCGATGTCGTGGATGTTGCAGTCGACGAATATGCCGCCTGAGAACTCAGCATAGGCGACGAAGAAACCAGATGGGTCGTATCTGTGGGGGTTGTATGTTAGCTTATATTCTTGTACTAGGGAATCTGGGGGTTGCGCAACGTACTTGTCGCAGGTTTGTGATCGCAGGATTGTGGGACGGCCAATGTCGCCGTTGAGCGTCATGTTGTAGGCATTGACGTAGGAAGAGTCGAAGCGACGGGAGAAACCACACATGACTTTGACGTGGGGATTGCGCTTCGCTGTGTCGAGGACTTGGTGGACCTAGGTACTGCTGTCAGTCGCGCACGCTCTTTTGGATCTAGGTATAGCGATTCACATACTACGTCCAGCTTGGTGCTGAGCGGCTTCTCACACAAGACATGCTTTCCAGCCTCGATGGCCTTGATTGTGTGCTCGGCGTGTACGGTGGTAACGGTAGCTACACAGACAGCCTCGAGACCCTCGTGCTTCAGCATCTCGTCGTAGTCGGTGTAGATCTTGACGCCCCATGGCTCGAGGTTCTCCTTTGCCCACGCAATCTCATTCTCAGCTGGTGTGAAAGCTGCTACGAGCTCAGCTTTGGGTGTGCGGTGAAGGAAGTGGTTTGCATGGCGAGCGCCCATGCGACCAAGGCCTGAGACGGCGACGCGGAGTCTGCGGACAGCTGGTGCCATTGTGAAGGATGTACTGGGATGAAAGGAAGTAATGGAGATGTTTGCAAGTGAACGAGCTCTACAGGAAATCAGCGAGGCCCAGAGTGATGAGATATAGGCTGCAATGCGCACCTACGGGAATACACCGACTTTCAATCGCCAAAGATGTACTTGGTCAAAGCTTCCCTCAGGGTCCAAGCTAAGCTCGACGACGCAATCTGAGCCTTTCGTGCATGTTCGTTTACATGCTTCACCAGGGACAAAACTCGGGGAATGCAGATTCCACAACTACGTCTAGAAGTCGACCATCACTCTTCCCCAGTATCATCCCCAGACTGCGGCGACATTGCCTACGCTGAGCAGTGCATTGCTATGTTTGGATCGGATCCTCGGCACGAGTATGGCGACGACAACAGACGGAACGCGGAAAACCTGTGGAGAAATGCATATCGTTGTTGACGCAAAGTGTGGGGAACGCGTGGAGTCGCGTCGCGCCAGGCACAGCTTGTCGGACCTCGCCGAATGGGGAAAATCTCCTCTTTTGAACACCCACCTGGGGCGAAATTGCCCCGCGCGAAGTAGGTGGCTTGCGTCAGAAACCGCTCACTATTCCTAGAGCTAAGATGCAAATATTTTGGCGCTGCGGAGGCGGACGGCAATGCTGGGGAAGGTTGGGGTTGCCGTGGCTGTGAAGGAAAAGGAAGGGTTAGCGACACTTCACATGCTTGCAGCCGGGGTACCTTGATGCTTCCCCGCATACGTCACTTGTTTACCAACACCGACAAAGGTACAGAGCCGAAAACATAGAATTGAACATCTTGTTCTACTGAGAACTACGCGAAGCATGTTAAGCGAGCTTGAGATGTCGACTGCACGCTTCTGTTGCTACATCATCTAACACCTATGAACACCAAACTCGACTTTTTCAAAGATTAGCCTTGTCTTCCTCGCCAGTCTCAAGCACAACTTTGATGACTAGCTTTCCATTATCGTCCTTTGTCTTTCCTGCCATCTCAAACGCTTCGACGGCCGACTCCAAGCCCTTGTAGGTATGTGTTACCAACTTGGCAAAGGCAGGGTAGTCATCGCCCTGCTTTGACACGACTTCGATACCAGTGGGGTATGTATTCGCATATCTGAATACACCAACGATGTCGACCTCGCGAAGGGCAGCTGCGGAAATGGGAAGCGTCTGGATGGGTGTACCCATACCAATTAGCAGAACTTTGCCACCTGGTCGTGTTGCCTGAATCTGTTAGCATATAGCCAAATCAGCTGTGGTGGCGCAACTTACGTATATCGATGCTTGCACACAAGACGGCACACCGGTGCACTCGAATACGGCATCCACCTCGCCAACTTCACCACCACTTTCCTTTGATAGCTTTCCGACCTCGGCAGCTACCTCCTTGGCGATATCCAGTTGCTCTTCTATTGTGCTTCCACGCTTCATAGGCACTGTAAAGCTGCGGTGCGCAAACTTGTTCTCAACTGCGAATTGTACTCGCCCAGCATCGATATCTGCTATCACCACTGTGCCAGCACCTGAAATTTTGGCCATAGCCGCGACTAGCAAGCCTACAGCTCCGGCTCCAAATACCAAGACGGTTGAACCTGGTGCTAATTGTGCGCGTTTTGATGCTTGGATGGCGACACTCAGAGGCTCAAGGAGGGCCCCTAGATCTAGAGACATATCCTCTGGTAGTCTTCTCATTGTTAGTCTCTGTAGCAATTATAACAGGCGCGACACTCACTTGTGGCACCAAGCAGCTGGGTGATTGATACGGTCTTGTAAAGTGCCCTGGGCGTGCGGAAATGCTTTTGCACTACTCCGGAACTTCATGCCTTTGCAGATGTTGTACCGCCCTTCTTTGCACCTATCGCAGTTCTCACACGGCTGTCCAACTTCCAGTGCGACCTTGTCTCCGACTTTGAAATTCGATACCTCTGAGCCTACGTCTACTACTACGCCAGCTGACTCGTGACCTAGCGACATTGGTTCTCGCACGATAATATCGCCATTGCGGTAGTGCCTGTAGTAATGGAGATCTGAGCCACATAGACCGGTGCTGCGGATGCTGATTTGGAGCTCTGTGGGGGAAGGTGGGAAGAGTGAGCGGTTTTCCTGCCTTCCTGTTAGCACCTTCAAGCTTGAGGGAATATTGTTGCCGCATACAATTCGTAGATCCTTCGCGCCATGAAGGACTGAAGCGCGAATTTGCCTTGGGGTGTCTGACGTTTCTGTTGAAGACATGTTGTCGCAACGTGTGGTAGAATCGAGTTAGAAATGTATAAGTGAAACTTCGAGGCGTGTTACACAGCGATATTCAGCTTTACAACGATGCAGAGTCGAAGTCAGGAAACAAGGAAAGATTCAAGCATCAGGTCATCTCGCAAGACATCGGAAGCTATTACGCGCCAGATAATCGGCACGCTTTGCCTCATAGTATAGCATGCATCACATGGAGACAAATTCCACCTTCGGCGTTTGAAATAGCGGGACAGCAGATGCCGACGCATGCCCAGATGGTGGGGTTGACCCTTTCCGAGGCAGTTCCGAGCTACCCAAACATCGAGCTGCAGGAAAAGCCGTCGACTTCTGCCGCAAGCTTTCAAACTTCTTGATTGACTTGCATTAGGTTCTTGAAGAACTTTACCCAGACTTCCTGTCATTTTAAGGTCAATATACAGCCTTGGAATCTCGATAACAGCTTTAATCCTTCTCTGACGCTTTCCGAACCACACCAAGCAAGACAGCCAGTATGACATCAGTACAGCAGCTCTTCTCGCTCGAGGGCCAAACTGCCCTCGTAACAGGTGGCACGCGAGGAATTGGTCAGTCAATGGCCATTGCCCTCGCAGAAGCAGGAGCAGATATCCTCCTCGTCCAAGTACGCCCTCACTATCCTCACCCAATCCCCTACAGCTGCTAACAACCTCTCCCCAGCGCGATACCAGCAACCAAACTACCAAACAAAAGATCGAGTCCCTCGGCCGCAAAGCCACAATCTACACTGCAGACCTCTCCTCCAAATCCTCCATCACCGCCCTCATCCCCAGCATCCTTTCCGACGGCCACAGAATACACATCCTGCTCAACTGCGGCGGCATCCAAAAGCGGCATCCCGCGCACCAATTCCCAGACGAAGACTGGGATGCCGTACTCCAAGTAAACCTAACTTCTGTCTTTCAACTCTGCCGCGACGTTGGCGCACACATGCTCAGCCAACCCGCGGATCTTCCCCTAGGTCGCCGCGGAAGCATCATAAACGTGGCTTCGTTGCTCACGTTCCAGGGCGGCATTACTGTACCGGCATATGCCGCGAGTAAAGGTGGTGTGGGACAGCTTACCAAGGCGCTGAGCAACGAGTGGGCGAGTAAGGGGGTTAGTGTGAATGCGATTGCTCCTGGATATATTGCTACGGACATGAACGAGGCGTTGATCAAGGACGAGAAGAGAGCGGAGAGTATCCTCAGTCGTATTCCGGCAGGGAGGTGGGGGGCGCCGGAGGATTTCAAGGGCGCGGTAGTTTTCTTGGGAAGTGCGGCGAGTGCGTACGTGAGTGGGGAGGTGCTTACTGTTGATGGTGGGTGGATGGGTAGGTAGATTGATTGACTGATCGCTAGAGTTGCACAACAGAGGAGGCAATGTTTAATGATAGACTTTTTCCTTTATATTCATGAGCTTGACATATTCTTTGTGTCTCTCACCAGTTGGCATGACCTCTCAACTATCACATAGGCTGTTTCAAGATCTTGGAAATTCATAACAATTCATTGGGTATAGCGTTTTAGTCCTATCCTAGATGCAACACCTACAACTTGCTTGCCTCAAGTAGTCAAGGTCCGCTGAGATCCATGCCCTCAGGCTTATCCGGGAATCCAGCATTGACACCAAACGGCGGGTATACGCAGCGGGTGATGCCCTTCTCTTTGTGAATCTTCTCCAGCTTCTCCATGTCCTCGCTATCGAGGGAGATGAGCTTCTTGTTCTCGTCGATGCGGGATGGAGTGACCGACTTTGCGAGGACGGAGGAGTTGCGGGCGACTTTGACGAAGTTAGTTGGGTGCTCGAGAAAGCATATGTTTGGTCAAACTTACGGTGGTAGCTCAAGAGAATGACGGCGGGGGTGACGCTGTGCTTCTTTGCGACCTCGTTGACGACCTCGTCCTTGAAGAGAGGCGAGCCAGTGCTTCCTAGCGGACTGTAGGCTGTGATGTGGATGCCCTTCTCCTTGCAGAAGTCAACAACTTCTTGTTGTGGGCACAGTGGGTGGTTCTCGATCTGGTTGACAGCGGGGACGATGGTGGCCTTGGCCAAAAGCTTCTCCATGTACTTGACAGAGTAGTTGGAGACACCAATGGCCTTGACCTTATCGGGATGCGACTTGATCAGGTTCTCGAGGTTCTTCCATGTGTCTTGGTGGGTGATTGAGGTGTCAATGTCTCTTGAACCGTCCTCGTGCTTGGGGAAGAGGGGGTGGTTGCCTGTAAATGTTAGTTTTGGTGTGCCCATAAGAGATAGTAAACTTGCCCTTGGGGTTCATGGGAACGGGCCAGTGCATGAGGTAGAGATCAACGTAAGGTGTCTTGAGCAGATCTAAACTCTTTTGCAGACCCTCCTCAGCACGGGTGTGGAATGTGCACCAGAGCTTGCTGGTAATGAACAGGTCCTCCCTCTTCACAATTCCTCGCGAGATGACATCCTGAAGCGCCTCGCCGACCTCGTCTTCATTCTGGTAGCAGAAGGCACAGTCAATGTGTCTGTAACCACCCTCGATAGCGTGGACAACGGCCTTCTTGACCTCGCCAGGCGCAGACTGCCACGTTCCGAGTCCCAGAGCGGGGATGGTCGCGCCAGTGTTGAGGGGGATAGCAGTGTTCATTTCGGGCTGTGGGTTGAGGATACTTTTGGGTGTACTTTTGAGCATAAACTTGGAGAGAGCGGGATTCATCGCGACTCAGTGGTATGCTTGGGGTATTAGTAGTAGCAGCGGGGATGTTGCTGGCCAGGGGCTGGCTTGCTCGCATTTGCTTGGGAGCTCCATACTGTGGCTGAATTTTACCCTTCTGGTATGGCTAAAGACATACGTCAATCGTTGATTGACTCTATAATTCATCCCGACGTCCGATGCTGCCCCGCCATGCTTGCCCCGCCGGTGTAGCTTCGGTCCGGGGGCTGCGAGATGGCTTCTGATACGCGCTCGACGCGCTTCAGCCTCACGCGAAATTTTCGCAGCAGGAGTTGCCCAGACAAGCCAACGTGTTCGTGGGGTGTTGTCGGGGAAGGTGGCACCGAGCATCACGTGCCTGGAGGGGCTGAGCCTGGTCCCAGGATGTTGTCAGTCGGGTCGTCATCATGCAGCACGTTTTCTGATCATCGGCGGCCCAGCCGAGTGTTCGCGACGAAGAGAGGGTCCATCGGCTGTTGGGGCGGCGACAATTACTGTATGCAGATGGAGCGGGCTGAATTGCACCCTCTGACCCCATGCGGACGCGCACGATGCACTCCCGTCAAACGGCGGCAGATCTAACGCAAGCATCCAACCACCACGGGCGGAATGCACACCAGGACCCTTAGTCGCGTTTCCAGAACCCCAGATCTCCTCTGGCTCCTCAACGGCAGGTGAGCGTGACGGCGAGAATTGCCTGACATTGCAATTTTGCTCCGGTACGATTGGCTCGACCCTATCTGCTGGCAGACTGGTGCGGAGTGACCTCGACGAGTGGATCTCAAAGATGGAGACGATGAGAAATCTTACTCCAGAATTTCAGGCTCGGCAGGCTGGGGTTACTTCGGACGTAATGATGTCTGCTGGTTCTGGCAATACAACGCTTCGTTGTGTGGTAGCGGGCAAAGGATAAGTACTGCTCTCATCTTGTCGCATTCTCTACACATCAATCAACTAACTCCCCATCTTCATCACCTCTTCAACAACCATTCCATAGCGTACCGCATTTCTGCACTTTGCATATTTTTAAGATACCCCTCTTCTTGGCCCATTACATTTCGCATCATGGCACCAGGCGCAATCTTCGAGACGCCCAATGTGGCTGAGAACTTCAACGACCACCGCGATGGTCTTGCTCTAGAAGCCACTTCCGACGCCATTGACGATGTCAACGTCCTCAAGGCCGCCATGAAGGTCAAGAACGGCACCGCGACACAGAAAGAGAAGGACATCTACGAGAAATCCGAATTCGATGCTGAAAAGGACAAGACCCAGTTCCGCCAGTACGAAGAAGCATGCGACCGCGTGAAGAACTTCTACCGCGAGCAGCACGAGAAGCAAACCGTCGGCTACAATCTCAAGGCGCGCAACGCCTTCCACGCCAAGACACGCGCAGAGATGACCATCTGGGAAGCAATGGAGAAGCTCAACACACTCATCGACGAATCCGACCCAGACACCTCCCTCTCGCAAATTGAGCATCTCCTCCAGTCTGCCGAAGCCATTCGCCGCGATGGAAAGCCGCGATGGTTCCAGCTTGTAGGTCTTATTCACGACCTCGGCAAGCTCCTTTTCTTCTACGACGCCCAGGGCCAATGGGACGTAGTTGGCGACACATTCCCTGTCGGCTGCGCCTACTCCCCCAAGATCATCTACCCCGACACTTTCAAGAACAACCCAGACTATAAGGATGAGATCTACAGCACCGAGCACGGTATCTACACACCTGGCTGTGGCATGGACAATGTCATGTTGAGCTGGGGCCACGACGAGTACCTCTACCACATCATGAAGGACCAGAGCACCATCCCTGACGAGGGTCTTGCTATGATTAGGTACCACTCATTCTACCCGTGGCACACTGGTGGTGCGTACAAGTGGATGATGAACGAGAAGGATGAGCGCATGCTGGAGGCCGTCAAGGCGTTCAACCCTTACGATCTCTACAGCAAGAGCGACGAGGTTCCTAAGGTTGAGGATCTCAAGGAGTACTACTTGGACATTATTGATGAATTTATTGGCAAGGACAAGAAGCTTAAGTGGTAGACGATAGTAGTATATCATGGTAACGAATCTCTTTGATCTGGGCGTTCGGGTTATATAATGACGCGGAGTGCCAACAAGGCCCGCGATGCAATTCATTCTTGACCTCATCTATTCATCCCAACCTCTTGCTGTGCTTTGTGAACTGTATTTTGTAATGTTGCTGGAGGTGCTGTTACACAGGCTGCATACTCTGCATCATCGTTATGAACACCCCTCGTTACACATGGCCATCTCCACTCCGATAAAACCTCGCTCTTCATCCCCTAAAACTTCATCAACCCAGTTCCGAGGAGGGTCTCAAGACATCCTCCCCACACACAGATGGGGCAAGCATCGCCATCGTTATGCGAGTGACAAACCACATGATTATACGGCTCACTAACCTGCTCCGCCTCCTTCGGCATATACTCATATCTTTTTGCTTCTAGTTCCTAGATTCCGTGATATGATTCACAGTAACAGTATTCACGCAATCTTGGCAGGAGATACCGAGCACATTCCTATGTATACACGCCGCATGCTTGTCGGTAAATGCGCAATGAGTGAGAAGCTTGCGCTTGACGGAAGACATTTTTCGACATTTTTGTGGGTGGCATAACTGATCGTGAATGGTATTAATTTTCCATGAACCCGTAGCTTTACTGCACTGATTGTTCAAGTAAAAATCCTGCCTGAACCGCTCATTTACAGCGTTACAAGCAGGGCAATTGATAATAGACAAATTCATCTTCTTCCAAAAATAGCATAGCCTGATGCTCTCACTTGCTCCCTTTTCCTTCTCTGGTGATCGTACGCTATTGTGGCAAACGGCTTTTACAACTTCGATGTCTTCTCTTCTCTTTCCTTCAGATTTGGATGTGCCACCCTAACTGGCCTCGTGACAGCATAGAAGGCCATACCGCTGGACTTGGTAGAGAACTGAACCTTGGATCCTACGTGAAAGAACGCGAAGTCGCCAGCGACAAGGTGATGTGTGATCCCGGTTGCTTCGTCCAAGACATCGATTTGACCGCTTAGAACATACTTGGTCTCTTCAAAGTTGTAAGATGCGGGTTTGGAAGGCCCAGCTTCGATCTTATAGAAGCCAGATGTCAGATGTGCGGGTGAGTCGGTGGTTTGTGTGCGGATGCTGCTCGAAGGTTAGATCTTTGAGGAGAACTTATGAGATGGTGTGGAGAAACGTACGTGTGGAAATCTGCTACGGTGGCGTTGTCACCCTGTGGAAGTGGGATAAACTCATGACCTGCACCCTTGATGACGGTAAGAGGTACTAGATTTCCAGACACTATATAGGTGAAGCACCTTAGCAATGTGACGATGCGATAGAAGGGTCTAGTGAATGAGGGGCTGAACTTACTTTTCGGTATGATTTAGTGTTTGTAAAGTGGAAGCGACTCGATTTGCAGTGCAGCAGAAACATGCGAAGCTCATTATAAGAGATCATAATGATTGTGTTCGTGGCTCATCCCCACAACGTATGAATGCGATAGTTGCCCTAATTCGGTAAGCCGTGCCTGACTGCCCAGATCGGGTAAGCCCCACACCCGCACTTTCTACAAACTACGTAATGAAGAAACCAACCAAAGCTAGAGGACAATGAACGAAAAGTGGTTTCGAACGGTGCTAGCCAGATCATATCTCTAGTGGGCTACCTCCAACTGCTGCCGCGTACTTACCTATCCATGAGAATGACACCCAAGGGCTATTACGATTATCCCACTCATAGAGGACAATTTTAAAGAGGAACATGAGAAAACGGCCAACCATCCTGTTGAGAAATCTCGACTGGAATGTCAGTTGCTTGTGACACTGTACAGGTACGAATCTACCAATATCACGTGTATGACAGATGCTCTATGTCGATCTCCTCTTTGCGACGTGTAAACCGTAGCTTGTTTCTCGGGTCGAGAATTTTCAAATCTCCAACCAAGTACAATGTTACCAGGCTTGCTCCAGGCGCCAGTTCACAGTCGTACTTTAGCAATAGATGACAAAGAGCAATCTCAAGCACATGGGCTGCGAAGAAGCGTCCAGGACACGCCTGTGTTCCATGGCCAGATGTGAGATTGTCTGGACCAGTAGAGACGAGATAGGATTTTTTTGGAGGTATCATCTACAGAACCTTGTCGCACTCGAAAGTAACGTCGGTAGTCAAAACGCTTTGGGTCGATATACACTTCTGAATCTAGCATATTGCCGCCGTCGACAGCGACATGCTGGCCAAATGATGCTGCTTGCCCATCTGTCGCACGACTCTCTTGCGACAACTACATATCACCACCTCACAGCCACCCAAGAACACAAATCCGAGGAAAGAAACTCATTGGTTATCTACCTAATACCAAACTGAGGCCTCAAAGGGAAAGAAACTTCAGAAGAAATAACTCAGTCATCCTCAACCCGATACGAGTAGTCTCGCGTCAGCAAAAAAGGCTTGGGCCTGCACTCCCAGCCTTTCCATGTGCTCGACCGACTCGCATCAGATCATCGTCATCTCGTAAACTCATAAGCACTAAACTCCTCCAATCCTCCAATTTTGCTCATACTCGTACAATCACTCTCATCCCCATCCCCACCTTAGGGTATATCCTGTGCACAACCTCCCTGCGCCTGGCAATGCAAAGAGAGTTCGTAATATTTAATATCGAAAAGTTGCTATCGTGAGTAAGGGAAAAACCCGTCGTACTAGCAAAAGTCCGTGAAAACGAGCCAGTGAGGCGCGCCTAGGCGAATCCAAAGTACTCGCCACCAGCCGTCATAGCGGTGTACAAGGCCTTACGCAGATCCTCATAAGTTTCATACTCGGGGAGGTCAAGTTCTGTTCCATCATTAGCTCCTGCTTCCCAAAAAAGTTATTAAATCGATGCTGGGGGATTAAACTTACGGTTAAAGCAAGTATGACTACTCGGCAAACGATCCTTGCTACCATAATCGCGATGGATATTGAATTTGCTGAACCCGTTCATGCCCTCGAGTTCCTTGAAACCATTCAGTGGCACCTTGCTAGTACCAGTAACGAATTGCAGTAGCTTGGCCTGCTCTTCCTTCTCGAACGTTCGGACAGCGCGCCAGAACCATTGAATCTGTGGTGAGGCGGCCGTGTAGTTGTGGTACTCGGTGTTGTTCTTCCAGTCGTCCACGTTGATGTCAGGAAGACCGGAGATGAGAAGTTCGAGTTCTTGTTCGCTGAAGATGGAGACCAGTTCAGCGGGAACGATGTCGTGGAAGCCCTTGAGGAAGTTCTCAAGTTGCTCTTGGACGGCGCCGACAAGACGGTGCTCAGTGATGAGGCGAACGTACTCGTGCTTGTTGTCTTCGGTGACCGGAATGTTACGACCGTTCTCAATGAGGTCGACAGTCTGCATCTCACCGAAGGCCTCGACTTCCACTGAGAAGGTTTCCGTGATAATGTCCGTGATTTCGTTATGAATCATCCATTCCAGGGACTTGTAGTATTCCAGATCAAGTGTCTCCATGTCCTTGAGGCTAACCTGCTTGCCCATGATTTGCTTGTAGACCGCTCGGCTGAAATGGCAGTCCAGAACGCGACCTTCGTAGAGCGCTTTACCGATGATGCGACCAATGAACTTGAAGAACATCAGATGCTCAGGGTTGATAGAACTGAGGCGGTTGGGGTGGAATGTCGTGCGATCGGAAGCAACAGGTACGAAAAGAGCGTAGTCGGCGTTGAACATCTGGCGTGAGATGGACTGGAACCATTCGCGAGTAACACCACCAGCGTCAACACCTTCTTCGCCGTGGAAGCGGATGCTAAGCTTGCCAAACTTCATTTCGTCGGCTGACTTGAAGTACAGCGACTTGAAAGAGTCCAAGAAGACTTGGTCTCGGCGGACAGAAAGCTGCAGAGGCGGATGTGCTTGTCGGTCGCCGCCTCGGGAGTGGAGTTTTCTGTTGAAGTAGTTACGCTTGTTGTCGAACTCCAGCACCTTGGAATTCTTGACGAGAAGAGAGAATGTGCCACTCATCAACTTAGGATTCTGGCGAACAAGATCGTTGAGAATCTTCCTATGCTCTTCAGTGAAGTTGAAGAACAAATTCTCCATCCTGCTTTCAGGCGGCGGGCTAGATAGGGCGAATTCCTTAGGCATCATCTTAGACAAAGGCATCTCCTTGAGAGTAGTATTCTTGCAGACAACCATAAGACTCTCAATCAGCGGAAGGAGTGTGGTAGCGATATTGAGCATGTTGCCACGCTGGCGGATGACCGTCAGACACTCACTGAGCTTCTCCCATAAGGGCGCGAAAGCTCGATCCTCATATAAGGTCAAGAGGATATCTTCCTTTTGAGCGGGCTCGAGTGCCTCTGCAGCAGATTCAGGCTTGTCCCTGCTGTCACGTGATGGATCAAAGAGATAGTCAAGTGCCGTCAGGGCCCGTAGCAGTTTAGTTTGGTCGGAGCTTGCTGGGGAGAATTTGGCAAGTGCGATGCCCTGGACATCAGTAGGCGAGCTTGCCTTTGAGACTTGAATCGTCAAGCTGGTAAGGTCATGGAGTGTTGAGCTGGCCAGATCCTTAGCAATCCCCAGCAATTCTTGGCCGAAGACCTCCTTCGCACCAGGTATGGGCGAAAGATTGCTGATGACGTTGAGAGTCTCCTGGAATACCTTACTGTTGCATTCCCGAGCAGCCAGAATCTTGGCGACAAGTCGAAGGTTGACTTCAGGCACATCGGGCGGTGTGAGAGTGCGGTGTTTCTTCGTCTTGTCGTCTTCGGCCTTTGACTCGTCAGGCCTGGAAATGCTACCTTCGCCCTCAGCAGTAGCGGCTTCAGGCTGAGCAGCGGTTTCAGAAGCGGTCGTCATCTCCGTATCTTGGCCTTCGGGACGAGCCTCTATGGCTGCAGTATCGGCAGGCTGGTTCTCGGTGGCCTGGCCATCCGCAGATGTCTCGGCCTCCTTCTTCGCCTCTTCAGCAGCCTTCTCCTTCTCCTTTTTGAGAACCTGCAGCGGTGCGGTGATGACCTTCAGCAGTGTCGTCAATTGCTCCATGATGGTGGAGCTCTCAACGATGAGCTTGCGGTCGAGCAGGGTAAGTAAAGCGTTGACCGGATACCTATTCGCCTTGGTCTCTTTAGCCTTGCCCTTGCGGTTGGCGCGGTTCTTGAATCCAACGCCCGTCTCATGTTCGGTCAGGAAGAATTGCCAGACAGCGGGGTTCTTCTCTGTCAGCTGGGTAAGCGTGTTAAGACATTGCTGAACAACCATAAGTGGAGAGACGTCTGCGTTGATTGATAAAGCGCCGTTTTTGCGGGAGATCTTCGGGGTCTTGTCCGCTGGTTGCTGAGGCTGCTTGGCTCGAATTGACAGTTGCGCGAAGCTCTTCTCGACAGCATTTACGTCAGCACTTCCATCTTGAAGAATGCTGAGCAGGATGCTGATGACCTCTGCACGGTTTTGGCGATTCTCACAGACGTAGCGCAAGATGGAGCTCAGGCTACCCTTTGCGCTTCCCTGCTGTGGGATGAACATGAGTCTAAGAAGTGTCGCGACGCCGGCTTTGTCAAGCATTTGTACACAAGGACGAGTCTTCTTCTTCTGCGACGGATCATCAGGCTGGGCACGGCGATCACCTCGTCTATAGCCGAAGTCGTTGAACTGATGTAACCGACGATCGCCTCCCATCGCTCGAGCCTCTGCAGATAATTCTGGTGGTAGCTGGCGCAAGATGTCTTCGTCCGTATCCATGAGCACAGCAGCTCGTAGATTAGGGTCCAGTGACGCGAAGAAGCTTGCAGGATCCATCTCTTCTGCTTGTGGAGGAGGGGCACCAGCGTTGGCTTGATTGCGACGGCGATTCTCTTCGCGCTCTCGGCGTCGACGCTCTTGTGCTTCTTGCGCAAGCAACTCGGCTCGAATATCTGCGGGAAGTGCTGCTAGGAAGTCCTCGTTGATATCTGTAGGAACTTCACCTGCTGCTCCTGCCTCTTCGGGTGCAGCAGGAGCTTGTGCTTGTGCCGGGGCTTGCGACTGCTGCTGCGCTTGTTCTTGTCGTCGTGCTGCAGCCCGTTGTTCTGCTCTACGCTCAGCCACCTGCTGCATCAAGACTTCTTCACGTAGATCTTCGGGAAGAGCGTTCAGATACTCGGTGTCGATACCCAGATCCGTAATGTCGTACTCATGACCTCGAATCATGGTGGTGATGCGTTGTGGAGGTGGCCCAGCAGGTTCTGCAGGGGCCGACTCAGCAGCGGCGGGTTGTGTCGAGGCTTCTCCAGCCTCAACGCCCTCCATCGCTTGCGCTTCCGGTGCAGTCTCAGGCTCCGCCTTGGATTCGTCCTCTGCAGGTTGCTCTGGAGCTCGGCTCGCAGCTTCAGCGGCTTCGCGTTCCTGTCGCTCGCGATCTTCCTTTTCTTGTGCCTCACGTCTCTCGCGTTCTTCACGCTCCTGCTTCTCCTTCTCCTCTTGCTCTTCCTTAAGCTTGCGGGCGACTTCTGCCTGGCGCTCTTCTAGACGCTTCTTCGCTGCCTCCATGGCGGGTGGAACCATGACTTTTAGGATGGAGTTGATGACCCGGTTACTCTTCTCGATTGCCGCAGGGCCGTAGAGAATTCTAGCTTCTTCCTGCCAGCGCTGGCTGGTATATACCTTGGCGAAAGCTACCGCAGAGTGTGGGTCTTCGCGAGCAGTGCGCGATGTGTAGTTCTCTCGCATGCGAGCAATATCACGGCGCATACCACTATCAAAAGGTGGCATACCCATGGAGTTGCTGAAAGAAAGATGCAGCGCGCCACCATGCTGGTGTAATGTCGGGCCGCCAGCGCCGGAGCTCATCGCGTTCAACAAGTTGCTGATGAATGAGACAGGGCTGTCATTTTGACTGAAGACACGAGGACCGCGACCTTCGATGGCGTGAACCCAGTCGCTGTTGCCTTCGTTGCGTGGTAGGCCATCTCGTCCAGCGGAGCGACCGCCTCGCTGAAGCAGAGGGTTAATACCGTCGTCAGTGACGCGGGGACCAGCACCTGGGCGATGTGAGCGGTAAGCTGGTACAAGGATGCGATCGCCTGGACCTGCTGGGAACATCCATGGACTGAGGCGGTGGGTATGTCGAACAGTAGGGGGTTGAGGGTCTTCCCAGCCACCACCCCATGCAATTTCCGGCATGGCGTCGTCGTCGTCCTCCATGCCAGGATCGTAGTGAATATCTTCGTCATATTCCTCTTCCTCATCATCCATATCTAATTGGGTTAGTTGGGGTTCAAGATGTTGTTCTATCCTATGCAGTAACGGACCTTCTTCTTCCATGTTGTCATCTAGGAAATCCTCAAGATCCCCGCCTTGCTGACGCATCTGCTCAAGAAGCTGAGGTGGATCAAGGACGAAGCCCAGCGCGCCCGGTGGCATGTTAGCGTCGCCGTTGGGGCCGCCAGGGAAATCGTCTGGATCGTCGCTCCAGTCATCCTCTTGATCATCGGCAAGGCTAGCATTCTCGTCATCACCTGTCACCTCTTCCATGGCGTCCATGGCCTCTTCCATATCATCCATGCCATCGTCACCATCATCATCCATATCGTCCATGTCATCGTCATCCTCGTCCTCATCGTCTTCCTCATCATCTTCTGAATCATCGTCGGAGCCCATGGCGTTGCCATCATCGTCGAGTTCGATCTCAACATCAACATCACCAGGAAGACCCTCAATTGGACCCATGCCATCGATATCCATCTCGAGGATTTCTTCATCGTCATCGGAAACGACATCGTCGTCACCAATATCGCCTTCATCGTACTCCATATCATCCGCGTAAGGGTCATCGTACATCATCTCTTCACCCTCTTCATCTTCCGAGTCTTCGTCCGATTCTGACTCGTGGGCTTCGAACATGCCCAGTGTGGAGTTGCGGAACAAATCAGGCGTCTCCTCCCGCCCGTTGCCAATGAGATCGTCATCGGATGCGGTCGAAATCTCGTACTCATCGGCGGAGTCTGGGGCTGAGGAGGTATCGTAGTGCATACTCAGATCCATGGCGACGTAACAAAGCCACTTCAGAGGCTTGAGAATGTACTTAACTACGCGCTTAGCGTTCGGGAAGTTGAGGTCGATGTCTGAGATCGCCGTTGTGAGGATAGTGACAAAGTTCTTCTCATACATGATCTTCGCCATCTGCTTCAGGTTAGGAGTCAGATCGGCGTTCTGGGTAAGCATCTCGCCATTTGGACGCTGCGACACCATCCTGGAGAAGATGTCGGCGATACTTAGCAGACGCGAGTACTTCATGTCGAGCGGCTCGTCCGAAGCGTTGGCATCCTTGAATGCCTTCAGGGCATGCTCAAGGACGAATTTGCGCACGAAGAGTAAGTCTGGCTCAGTCTCAACATATGGTGAGATCGGCACATCGGTCTTGGGCAGGGCAAACTCTCCAGTCTTGTTACAGAGCGACACGATGAGGTCGATTGCGCAGTTCGATGTCAACAGCTTCTTCTTGAAAGCAAGATCCCCTTCATGGTTCAGGCTCCCGATAGGAACAACGTTATTGAGGAGATAGTTCAGGACGCCCGAGCGAGGCTTCGATGGTGTCACGGTGTAAGGGTCTGCCTTCCTGGAGAAGTTGATGAATTCAATCTTTGTGCGGTTGTAGCTCTGTACAAGCTCGGAGAGACACTTCAAGATGAAGCAGCGGTAGATGTAAATTGGATGCTCTTCGGCCTTGAATACGGGTTTTTCGGGTTTGGCGGCCTCCGTGGAAGCAGCAGCAGGGGCGGCAGTAGCGGCGTCGGAGCCCGACTCATTGCTTGCCTGCGCTTCAGGTGCGCTCTCTTTTGGCTTGGCAGCCTCAGGCTTGTCTTCTGCTTCCTTATAAGCTAGCAGCTCGCAGAGCAGGTAGTGGATGACGCCGTCAGGGTTCTCAACTACAGGAACCTTGAGATCCGAAGTCTTTGTTCGCTCGAGGAATGGCTGTTTAGGCGCTTCGCTAGATTCCTTTGGTTTGTCAGCCTCCGCAGTGACCTCCGAGGATTCCACGATGCTCGCTCCTTCAGTTGAAGGTGGCTCAGTCTTCTTGAGCATCAGAGCTTGTGGTCGCTGGTTGGGATCGAAGCCCTTCAGCTGGAGTTTCTCGTTGGTGACTTCGACGAAGATCTCAGGTGCACGAATGGCTAGCGCGTACATCTGGCGAGTGTAGCCAGTGGTGTCTGTCTGTCTTCGGTCGCGCGACTCAAACATCTGCTGGATCTCGGTACGCATGATCTGCCGAATCATTTCGTCATCTTCGATCATGTGGCGAAGGACAATCATGAAAGCGCTACGCAGGCCTTCGTTGGTGATGCCCGCAAGTTGCTTGACCATAAGGAACAGTCGCTGGATGTTGCGCTTCTCTGCGAGACGGGTCGCTATCTTGCGAGTGCGAGTAAGCATGGCTAGTACTCGTGTCACGGATAGAGCCAACGACTCATCCTTCCCGATGCGAGGCAGCATTTCGATAATCGCATTGAACAGCAGATCTTTCTCCTCGACACTGACAATCGGCTGTGGTAGCTCGTCAACTGTGGTCTCTTCTGTTGACTCTTCCGTTGGCGGAGTCCATGAAATTTGGTGCGGAAGTTGATCCTCAGCTAGTAGTCGTTCGACGATAAGCAAGACCTGGCCGATCCAAGGTGATGAATCTTCCGGAGATTGATCTGGGAAGATTTTGATGAAACCCAACAACGTAGTGAAATGTTCCTTAAGCTGCTCAACAATGACATCGTAGAAATCCTTCTCTTGTAGTATCAAGGCCAAAAGATGGGCTGAAGCTGCTATCTTCTTGCCCTGATTTCGGAAGTCGTCGTCACTCTGCAGTGACATGAGAGACTGTACGAGCATCATGCCGATTTCCCCACGCATCTCGGATGGATCTGGTGCCTTTGAAACGGCGGCTGAGATGAGATCGGCAAGCTCGAAGGTGACATCCTCGTGCGTGTTGAGCACGTCAAGAGATTGCTCAACAAGTCTCTCACGGAGCTTGGTTCGCTGTTCATCCAACATGTCTAGTGCAACAAGCTGAGTTGAATTTCCGTTAGCCATCCGCTTTTGATAAGCAAGAGTATCCTGCGGTACAGCAGGTGCCTGGCTCGGCTGATCACCCGGTACAGGTGTAGTAGACGTAGGCGCTTCTGTCTCTGCAGTCGAAGTGTCGGCGTCTTCCATCTGAACCGACTGTGTCTCCGGCTGCTCAGAGCCATCTTCATCCCGCGTTACTTCGCTTGATGTCATGCTAGCATCATCTGGATGCTCGGGGACCACCACTTCAGCTCGGCTCGGCGAGGTGGACGGCGGGCCACGCGCTTGAATCTCATACTGTGGAATAGGGTTCCTGGAAACACCTGGACGGGCCTGATTCTTGCAGTACTCATTTGCCATGTTGAAGTTGTCGCAGCAGCGATACAGGGCTTCTTCAGCCAGGCTCTCCTCATGTCCGTTTTCCTTCAGACGCGGCAAGTGATCTCCATTCCTAGCAGACCAAGGCTTGATTATAGGTTTGCTACGCTTTGGAATCTTGTCGATACTCTTCCACGCTCCGTGCTCGCCTTCACACTCAAGAACAGATTTTAGAATGTTGATAGACGTCTTCACAATTGACGTGGTTGCTTTGTCGATGAGATCCGAATTCCAAATCTTCTCGACAGGAACAATCACAGCGTAGCGGAGCTCGACGAGGAATTGTGCAGTCAAGAAATAGTCAGACCGCTCCCGATCGCGGTCTGGCCGGGTTTGCATGGATGACGTCTGTGGAGACTCTGAGATGACCTTGAAGTTAATGATCTGAGAGTAAAAGGCCAAAATAATCTTGATGCCTCCAAGCGACAGGTTGAGCAGTCGCTTCGTCTCCTCGCTGGTGGTGTCGTCCATCTGCTTCGAGGTAAGTTTGAGCGCCGATTGGTAGAATTGGTTGAGAATGTTCGCTAAAACATCGAATCCACCTAGGTTGCGGAAAGACACGAGTAGCAGCGTCAAAGCTTGTGATCGATCGAGGTTTGGCTCTACGATGAGCTGCGACAAGGATGTCAGGATGACAATCCAGTACGCATACCGATCTTCAATGATCTCCGATTCTTTCGGACCTTCGTATTCGAGCTGATCGATGACGGCCTGAGCAAGTTGGTCTGACACAACAGTAGCACATTGCCTCTGGTAAGCCTCCAAGCTGCGGCGAAACAAGAGGAGTTTACCAAGCGACTGGAAGAACGGTGCAACCTCGGTAGGTATCCTGCTAAGCAAATTGCGGAGAGTCTGTGTGTTCTTGAATTGCGCACTATTCTGGCTCGCAACAGGGTTCTCTGAATTCGAGCCAGGAGCGGCAGCGTCACCGTTGCTTGGTGATTCGGTAGCGCTGTTTCCAATTCGGAACACATTGTCGGCTTCATCGTTTCCAAAGCCTGAGCTAGTGATACGGGTCTCCTTCTCCCATTCTGTAGGCATGTTACGCTGTAGTAACAACTCTTCCCATACACAGCTTCGATGTAACCTTCCGAGGCTATCCACAAGACGTGCATACATGTCGGCGAGATTGACTTGGCTAGACACATTGTGCGAAGAGCGGGTAGTATACATCTGGCTCTGGAATGTTAAGGTCATAGCTCCGACGAGAGTATGGGCAGAAACTAGGGCTTTGACGTATTGTGTGCCTCGTTGCAAATTCTCAGTGTTCTGAGAAGTGCCAGAACTGGTAAAAGGTGCGAAGAAAGCCTGCTTGCCGGTGTGGTCGAGGAGAGGCTGCAAGTGCTCCAAGGCTGCTTGTGTACGTTTGATCAGAGATGGCACTGCGATATGCGGCTTCTGCTCGACGAGTACTTGGACAACATGGCCGAATTGCTCACACATGCTGCGGTACTCACTTGCCTTTGGATCTAAGCAGGCAAGGCTTGAGATGTCGAGAATCTTGTCTACACCATCGAGCTCGACGTACGCAGCGCACATGGCGTGATTTGAGAAGAATCCAGAGAGGAAGCGACACAGAACGCGGATGTATTGACCGGTAGTAGGGCCCTTGGTGCTGTCTTCGGTCTCAGTGATTTGGTCGTAAGCGACTGGTTCGTTAGCAGTATCATCAGCATCCTTCATCTCTACGTCGGTAGCTGTAGATTCCGAAGCTTGAACTGTGCTCTGTTGAGAGCGTGGCCCAGAAAGGGCTTGGCGGCCGCCAGCGACGGTCAGCTTACCAGCAGCGTCCTCGGACCAAAGCTTAGCTCCCACACCTTCCTTAACGGCCTTCTCGGCGCAAAGTTGAACCACGCGCGCTATCAATTCGCTGAGACATGAAAGAACACGTGCCTTCAGAGGTGGGTGATGGCGCACCAGCTCATCGAAAGAGTTTCCGATCAAAGTAGGCATCTCGGTATCAGCATCAAGTGCTTTTATATGGGCAGGACTCTCGAAAATCTCAAAGAATCGCTCAAGTGCGATTGATGACTGAAACAACTTCATACCAGCCTCAGCTAAGCAGATGCCGTCGAAGGCCGGTGGTAAAGTCGAAATGGCTTCTGCGACAGGCAGGATACCCTCCGCAAGTGACTTTCCAGCTTCTCGTGGAGGATATGTCGATGGTGTTGAAGCACTCACATCAGCGTTGGCTGCAGCAATTGCTTCTGAAGCGGGCTCTCCAGCCACAGTCTCCAGGAACGCATCGCTAAGACCCGCCTCGGCGATGACTTGATAGCTAGTGGGCTCATTGTTGATGAAGCTGGTAAGGATTGTGACAGCCATACTCCAGACAGTTGAGCCGAACGTCTTGGCATTGGATAGCACAGTGCGCAAGCTGCTGAGCAGCTGTTGCGAGTCAAGCAAGTTTCGCATCAGGCGATCGAAATTTCCGCCTGTATGTGACATCATATGGTTGAGGAACTTGAAAAGCCAGCGTAGACTCTGCTGGTGGTAAAACGGAATTTGATAATCAGTAAGCTGCGTCTTGTACTCCTTGGGCATGCCCTTGTCCTCTTCTGCGAGCTTCTTAGAAGTGTCGACTTCGTATTGCATCAGATCAGCGATGATTTCAAGTCCCTTCGCGGCTACAAGGGCTGAGAAGGCGTCGCGCAGGTTATAGACGAATGTGTCAAGGAAGTTGAGAATCTTAGGGTGATTGCGTTCTGCCTTAGCGGTACGCAGCTTGAGGACATCGACTAGAACTTCCAGAAGACCAGCGGCCACCATCTGCTCACCAGTGCGCGTTTGAGAAGTAGGTAGAGTGTTCAGAAGAGAGAACAAAGCATCGCGCCACTCATCTTCTTCGACATCATCAGGGTTACCTGTCTCTTCGCCAAGTCCAGCGACAAGCTTGCGCACAACGTAGAAAAGTACACCATGGTTAACGTTGACGCTGAGGGCGGTGCAAACATCAGGCGCTTTGGACTTGTGCTTTGCGAGCGCCTCAAGAGCGCTCATGGTGTAAGTCTGCAGTTCCGTCGAGATTCCAGTCTCACCGTTGCCTGGCGGATGGACCAGCTCAGAGAGCTGGTAGGCAAGTTGTAACCGGCGTGGCTCATCTGCATCTTGCTGACCCAGCTTTGCCATGAACTCCTTCTCGACGTGTACGTAGCCAATGTTTGCGATGGATAGAAGACGGATGGCGACTGCACTGTCGCGCCCTGTGTGTCCCTCGTGGAACATCTTCGCGGTGCGAAGCTTGTGGAGGAATTCGTAGTGGGCTGTTTCCGGTAGACGTGCGAGTCCTTCCTTAATAAGGTCGTGGATGTCGGTCTTGACCACCTTCTCGGCTGACAGCTCGAAAGTCTTGGGCCCATTCGTTGTACTACTGGGTTGTCCAGGTGTGAAGACTGGCGTGCTCGGTGAATCGGTAGCGGGCGGAGGCTGAGGCTGTCGCGGTGTTCGGTTGGGGTTCATGCTTGACGTTCTTCGCACTGGAGTCGGTGTTGTGGGTGCGGGTGTGTCTATGGAAGCCGGTTTGCTGCTCTCTGCTTCGGACGAGGGAGTGGGTTCATAGTACGAGACGAGGACGCCTCCGAACTCCTGCTTCATCGATGCTTCGGACATGGAGTACATGGCAACGAGATCGGACGGACTAATCTTATCAGTGCTGCCAGCGCGCTCCTTGCCTTTGCCTGCCGGTGTGCCGAACACTGGTACTGCTGTGGCGGGGCCCTTTGCGAATGGGCTGGCCAGCTTCTGGACCTTGTCGAGATTGATGTTGTAGTGGCTGGAGAGAAGAGATGGGTGGAGGGTGGCCGGAGCCAGGCGCATGCGTGCGGCGGCGTAGCGCTGAGCGAGTCGATGACCTAGACGAAGCGTAGCTTTGAGAAGAGATGTGGAAGTCGTGTTTAGTAGCTTGTCCAAGCGCTCGCTGCTAGAGTACAGACTACGATTGCCGCAATTCTCCAAGAGCATGCGCGTGAAGTTGAGGATCTGCTCGATCAGCTCGCGATCGCCATCCTGTGATACGTGCAGGGTATCCAGGACAGCATCGGTTGTGGTCTGCTCCGAGCTGGTGTTTCCTTCCTCGACATCGCCCTTGAGCAGTAGTCGGCGCTGGAAGGACTGCGTCTGCGGTCCGTCTGCCAGGCCATACTCCTTGTTGAACAGCTCGAGGATGTGGTCGAAGCGGTTGAGGGCGGGGATCCAGTGATATGCGTCACCGCGGGGAAAGGGCCAGTGCCTAGGGAAGGAGGCGAGATGTGCGGGCAGCTGGAATAGCGGTATTGACTCGGTTGCCTTTACGAAGTCTGCTATCATCGGCGACTGCGGTGGTTTGTTAGTAGTGGCGAGACATGGCAAAGGATGCTCAACTTACCAGAGTCGACTCATGTCGCGATGTAGCCTGTTTCTTGATCTTCATGTTTGCGCCGGGCGCTCGGAAGGCGAAACTTGCTCACATGCAAGCTCTATGAAGCTGGTCTCTAGTGAGTAGCAGTTGTGTGCAGGCAGTCGAGTGACACAGCGAGAGATGCGTGACGCGGGAGGCTGTCTAGAGGTAGGCTGCGACTGCCTTTACCGGAAGCGCAGAAACCCAAGGTGGCTACGTTTTAGTGGAGCGAAAAGCGGGGTCTTGATGATGTATGTTGGCGTCGTATCCACACACAAAAGCGGTCGTAGCGAGATGTAGGTAATGCTTGTGACCGGGCGGGTTGGCGGAGAAGAGGCGTAGGTGGGTAGGTCGATGTTAGATACCACGGTGCAGGCGCGGATCTGGGACAGCTAGTTGGTCGCTTATTGACGGGATGCAAGTGCCAAAGGTTGGTTAGCGGCAGCCTCTATATCGGTGGTAGAGCGGGTGGGTGAGGTGTAGTTGTTGTGGGAGCTGTAGCTATGAGCACTGCAAGTCGCAGTTTCCGCAATGATGGAGACATGGTCCGTGCCCGCTGATCCGAGCTTAGAGCGTCACGAAAGCGACGCGCTGTCGTCAGTGACTCTTCGGACGATATGACGATCATGAATGCGCTGGGGCGGGCTACGACATTCACGGAACGATGATACTATCTCCTTGCATCATCACGCGTGAACTTAGCTAGCGGATATCCAAGGATATCACGACCAAGCACTTGCACCATCAGAAAGCACTGTATCCACGACACAGAGACGGTAGGTGAAATGGTATTATATATTATTCGATATCAAATCATAAGTCATAAGAAAAGCCTCGGCAGGACTGCCAGTAAAACAGCTCGATCAATCACCCCAGACCAGCAAAACACAATGACACCTCCCAAGCCTACCTGCGAAACCACCCACTCGTCCCACTCGCATTCTCTTCCCTCCTCTCCCCACCCCCATTCCTCCTATCCTCTGCCTTCCCATCATCAACCAACCTGACAGTCTCCTCCAGCACCAACAGGTCCCTCTCAATCATCTCCGCCCAATTCTGAATATCCCCCACCTCATTCAACTTCTTTGTGCCCCCTTGTAGCAACTTATCCCACTCAGCCGTTTGTTTCGCGAGCGCCGCCGTCTGCTTCGCCAGCTCCTTTTCCTGCTTTGATATAGCAGCCGAATTGGCGTGTAGGTCCGCTGTTCGCGTGCGCATTTCATTGTCAACGCTGGCGCCGACGGAGAGCAGGGATGCGGTTACGGCGGCGCGGGCCTCGTTTTGGCGACGAGCAGCTTCTTCTGGAGATGGAGGTGGGGAGGAAGGCATATTGGTGGTGTTGACGTTCACGGAGGGGGTAGATAGCGTAGGCTTATTGAGGAGTGGTAAAGTAAGTTGTCTTGATGTGCTGAACGTAAAATGGTTTGTATGCTCTGTTAGTTAGAACAGCTACTTGCTCAGCGAATGACGATCCGCGAACTACTGCGTAACTTCACCGTAGTAAGACTGCCTAGTCTCGCTCCAATCATTCCTCATACTATGAAACGTAGTGTAACATGTTGATTGGTGACTCGGTCGTCTACCGGGTGCTTCTGAAGGCCGCTTCCAGCTCACTGCGTGATGGTGTAACGGGGCTCGATGTGAATGGCTGACGAAAGTATTCAATATATGGTCATGCCTTGTGCAACGGCAGTTCCCTACTCTACTCCATCTCTGACACGTGTACAAGGCTAGCAGGCACGCCGTGCGGCGTGACCACGGAAACTTACGACTGGACAGCGGGGTAGAAGCGAGCAGCAGCAGTTTGGTTTGATAGAGAATTTAGCATTGGCTTCTGATACCATGGTTTTTTCTGTCTGCATGAGTATGGACAGAGACCTTTGCTGCTGACGTGCTTTCCTATTTGCAGTGTTAAATGCACTGGGCGTTAGTCGTTGTGCTCCTAATGCTTAAGGGAGAACGGCGAGTGGGGGTTGGACAACAGTCCGGGGAAATGTGCTGTAAGCTTCATGAAATAGATACGCATATCCTCTCTGTCGTCCATTAAGCCTGGAAGAAGCTATCTGCCTAAGATCGACGCCCAAAGTTGCTACGGCGATTCATCCGAGGCGGGGTGGGGTGCCTACCGTGGGGCCTGGTCGGGGAAGCGCAGCGCAGTTGATGGGGGTGCAATCAACACCTTATCAGTAGTTGCCAATTCAGGAAATAGTCAAGTTCAGGCAAATGTAACCGAAGCCCTTAGACCATCGTCGGACAAGTCCTTTGCGTTTCCTGTGGACTAGGTTTCTTGCCGCCGTGGAAACTCAAGAACAAAAATCACTTATTAATGGAACGCACGATGCACGAGGTACGTATTGGGCCCATTTCGATAAATTCGTAAGATGTAAAACACGTAACCAAAGAGTGTGAAAGAGAGTAAAGAAACAAAGGTCATGAGATTCCCATGCGACCGGATAAGAACAAAGTGATCCAGCCACACAAGTATCCAGATATCGCACCCAAACCGAAAGACTCGACTTATGCCGCAATCTCCTTAGCAACGCGCTTGACAACATCCTCAACAGCGGCGGCCGCCTTCTCAGCCTCGCGCTTCGCATTTCTAGCCTTAATCTTTGCCTGCGCACCCTTGATCTGCTGGACCAAGAATTCAACACCCTCGTTCGCCCTAACACCGTATGTCAAGTGAGCAGGCAAGACGCTCAGCGTACCCAGGCAGACGGCGTCACCAGGCTGGCAGATGATCTTGACCTTCTCCTTGGGGAAGTTGGGGATTTGGTCGCGGTCCTGAAGCTTCTGTGTGTCACCGTAGGTAACAACACCAGCGATTTGGTCCATGACAGCAGCGTCGAGCTCCTCGATAGCGCGGTGGTTGACAGCAGCACCTTGACTGTAGCCCGAGGATACGATAACGGAGTCTGGGCACTTCTGGGCCATGCTGTTAAGAGTGTCCTTGAGGAGGTTCTTGGAGCGTGTGTCGGTGCCGCCGGGGAGGACGTTGGTGCCGATTGAGGCGGCGTAGGGAATGCCTTCAGTGGCCACTGCATCTTGACCGAACTCTTTCTTGAGGCCGTCAGAGGTAGGAGGACCGACTACGGTTCCCATGTTGCCGATCTCGGTGGAGCCACGGGCGAATGCGAAGAGAATATCTCTGCATCCACCTCGGCTGAACTCACTCGAGCTGGAACCGGTGCCACCGAAGAGCTGGCGGCTTTCCAGAGGGGCGGCAGCGGCAAAGCCAGCAAGGGCAGCAATGAGGATGGATTGGGCGTGCATGGTGTTGTTTGTTGAAAATGTAGTGTTGTTTGTTGAAAGTGTGGTGGAAAGTATGTCTGATATTGACAATAATGTGAAGAAGCGAAGAAGATAGTAGCGAATGTAAGCACCGGGCCTGTAGTGTTGGTGACAGTGTTGACTGATGATTTTCAACTGAGGCTGGCGTCCTACCTTCTTATAATCCTATGTCGTTCGGCCAGACTTGGAACCAAGCTCGTCTAGCCATGACGATGATCAGGTATGCGAGCAAGGGCATTGCCCAAGACGCTGCCAAGGTATCATTGGACTCATTGATCAAGCGGAAACAACCGCCAACTGAGAGAGCAGCCGAGGAAGGTATTCGTCAACTAGAGATACGATTGGTCCATTTCGTATCGATGTATTGCCAGGAGGGAAGTCCAGTGTCATGGAACTGCTACCAAGCGATGCCAAGTTGGTTGCGTTCTCCAAGAGGTATGGTGGAGATGGGGTATGGAGGGATAGTAGTCCATCGTTGAGCCTCTGCGCCCCAAACAACGTACGGAATTAGCCACTTAGGACCTGAAGGTGATCCGACTACCGAAAAAACACTCTCACCGTCAATGCGCTTGGACCTTACTTTTTGGCTACCCTGGCTGATCCTGCTACAGGGCAGCGACTCGCGCGAGGGTGTTCCTAGTGCGTCCGCAACGTGCCTGCCGTGCCTCGGTATGTTGTAGACAACATTGCTGATCATTGGCCATAGCGACGTCTGTCTACGACCTGTCAGTGTAAGAAGTTGAGCTGACAAGAGAACGGCTGTCTCGAAATGACGGAATGACTTCATCGTAAACAATGCAAGAGTCGAGCCTGATATCATGCAAGCGTGTAGTCCGGAAAAGGGGAGCATTTTGGACAGTACCACACTGACGAGTATACGGGAATTATGCCCGTCTCTAAGAACGCTTTCGAGAGGAAATAAGCTTTCGTACATTCGCAACGTGGTATAGGGTTGATCGACGTGACGGGTGCGTCCCGCTATGGACCGTGTGCTAATTTAGTTTTGACTACATGCGCCTGACGCTCTTAGCCGTTTCAGCTCGGGACGTGATGCAAAAAGCAAGCGCACCAAAGATGGTCAGACACTGGCAACACCAACATCGCATGTTCACCGTTGTGAGTGGAAATCTCCGAACCTGGGAACCATGCCATGATGTCTTTGATCGCAACATCTGGCCAATGGAGGAGTCTGTTCGCGAAGGTACTCCAATAAATAAGCGTGTTTGGTGTACGCGATGCTCTCCGGTCGAGTAAGTACGGCGAACTTCGCCTACGCTGATGGCAGTCTGTTGTCCGCACGCTTCAGACATTGCAAGTATAGCCCGTCCGCGACGTACTGATTTACTGATCGCCTATGCAGCCTGCATATACGAACCGATTCCTTGCACTCTTCTGTGCACGGGTTTTTCGAGAAGCCTTGGAAGTAAAAAGCATAGGTACAACCTCAGTCATTGTACGACGTTAATGCTGAAATCCTAGGAATTGGCTGGCCCATGATTGTTCTGTAACCTCGTTCATCCGCAGCACCCGGCAGGGCGGGATGACTCGCATGGAGCGGCGCGATCGTTTCGAACTTCAGCCTTGCATCTGCCGACGAGTCGTTCTATGCCTAAGGTTTTGTCAATATGACTCGAATAGGAAAGGTGGTCGATTGTGATGGACACAGCGATTCTCGCGTTCGCTTCTCCAGACCGATTTCTGCCTAAACGCAAAACCCAAGCTGCTGTTGCTGCTCTTGAGACAATTCCTTGCAACCTTTGCATCAATCCCCTCATGGTTTTGATTGTACAGTTCCCAATCATACCGACTGGGTTGCACGTAGCCCCAAGAACGCGGCGCGTTGTCGAAAGAAAGGAGATCTAGGGTACCGAAGACGGGGACCTCAGGGCCATGACATCAACCGGTGGTCAAAGCGCGCCATCCAGTAAACTTTACGAGATGCGCGGCAACGACAAGACACATACTATGTACACCTTCGCATTCTGATTTATGGCCGATGAAAACATGGATAGGCGTTATCGACCCCGCGATGATACGAAGCTGCCCACCTTTGTGAGCAGGGATGGTTTCCGTCGGGAAGCAGAGGCTCCAAGCCTTGCGATAACGATAGCGTATGATTGGGCCGAATAGGACGACGACCATGGTACCCAGGTACCTGTATAATATCAGACAAGAAAGATACACAAAGTTACACCAAACTTTAAAGGAAAAGAAGAAAGAGACAACTTGAACTCCATCCATCAAGATGCACGATCCTATCGCCGATGCAAAAGCCCAGGAAGCAACGCGCCAATACACTTTCCGACCCGCTACCCCCGCCGACATACCTGCTCTCCAGAAAATGATCGGTTCTTCTCTCCGCGGCCTAGGAAAAGGTTATTACAGTCGAGCCGAGCTCGATGGCTCAATAGGCTACCTCTTTGGCCCCGATTCCGTTTTGATAGCAGACCAGTAAGTACCGAACCTCAACATTTGTGGAAATAAGGCGTCCGTCATCAACGAGCGGGAAGCCGATACCAAATGATACCAAAAGGAACCATAGTTAATCATGTGAATACAGGACGTACTACATCCTTCACCCTATCAACTCGCCAACCACAATCTGTGCTTGTGGCGGGTGGTCCTTTCGTAAGACGCTGTACGGCGGAGATTCTGCACCCTCTCCTCTGCGTATGCCAGAGAAGCGTGATCCGGCTATTGACCGTGCAAGTATCCGTGCTATTTTCACTTCTCCAGAGTATGCGCGCAGGGGTCTGGGTACCATGATGATGCGGTACTGTGAGGCGCGGGCGCGTGAAGGGAAGAGAGGTGAGACAGACGGTTTCACCTGGTTGGAAATGGGGGCGACATTGAGTGGAGTTGCATTGTACGAAAGATGTGGGTATGTGAGGAGTGGGAGAGTGGATGTGGTCAAGTGTCCTAATGGGGAGGGAATCAAGATCTTACATATGACGAAGGATTTGGTGGCGTAAGGCGAGGCTGTTAAGAGAAAATGGTCTAGTCAGCTTCGAGGTATCTGGTTGCAAGAGTTTGGTATGCGGTGGGAAGATTACCCTTGTGCAATCGATCTTGTAAGATGCGGTGATGTGTTGGCAGGGAAGCATGATCGCCGCCAGGTTTGGGTTAGCGGATGATGGGCGCCTCGCGGTAAGGCACCCGATGAGGCGAATATACTTCTTGTGGCGCTATGGTGCGGTCTAGGTTGGAAGCGTGATGCAAGGAGAAGCGCGAAACTTGTATCGTGGCCATGGTGGGTTGTATATGAAGTATGCGAGCTCGCTTGATATCAACCATACGATATTTCCTCTCCTTCTTGCAGAGTGTTCGCTCTTTGTCATCACGTCAGCTCGAAATCTCTACCGTCAGCCTCACCCCACGATTGGAGATAAGCACGAACAGCATGTCAAGCCCTATCTCGAATCCCATCCCAAATCCCAAAGATCCTAAAGCAGCCGCGTTGTCCACGGCTGTAGTCATCATCACCGTACCATCAGGCACATGATCTCGCCATGGATACTCATTCGACAAAACTAGTTTGCGCAGCTTGCAGCTTCGATTCCTAGCCTTACGGCGTGATCGCTGTGTAAGAGTAGGGCATTTTTGGGTTTAACGTATACTGCGATTCCGGGAAAGCTGAAGGTCTCCGAGGAAATGGTGGCATGTGGACCTGGTCGAATCTGGCTAAAAGGAGTCGATGTCTAATGACGGGTGGTGCAATCATGATCTCAGGAACGTCACCGTGGTACTTGGTGCGGTATTGTCCGCAATCTGCCAGCAGTGCAAACGGCGGTCGGAACATTTTGCGATGTGATTTAAGGATATTGGGACGTAGACCTAGACCTAGGCGGATGCGTTTGCAAGACTGAGTAGCAACGACATAAATCATCATGGTACTTCGAGACGAGGCCGATGTTCGGAGGATGGTGTTCTGGTTATGGTATCACGTACTGGAGACATGGCAAGGCTGTTGAAGGAACTTCTTTCTTTTGTGGAGGAGAGCAACTAAGACATGGGATCTTCAAAACGCACCAAAGCAATGAAACCGAACGCATTAAGCTCCAACATCAGACCGCATCTCCACCACGCTTCCATTTTGTTATGACTCAAGAAGAATAAAGCAAAGTAACGCCATCAGTGAACATGGATCCATGCTGCGTATTCCATAGAGGCCGCTCCGTTTGAGTGCAACCCAGCGTCGTAAGCAGCAGTAGTCGGGGTATCAAAGGGTAATGCAAGAGGGCATTCGCAAAGGCTGTGTGCTCGTGTCGGATCATCTATACGTCAAAACGCAAGTCAAAGACGCAGGGAACTCCAGGAAATCCCATACAGAAAGTCAACAACGGCAAACCGTCCCCAGTTCTGCCGGAAGGAAGATCGACTTGGCCACAGATATGTCAGTGACAGTTGTGATGACTAGTAGTCACATTGCAAGTTTGGGCGTGAGCCAAATCGATGCGTAACCGGAAGTTGTCAAAGATGGAAGCTGACCTGCAGACCTTCATGTAGAAGTGAGAATGTCATATCGTAGTCGGAAGTCTAGTGCGTAGGAGAGGGAAAGTCGCTACGACTCAAGGAAAGCGTCAATATCCTTCCCCAGCTCTTTACTCCAGAGGTACTCGTGGTCTTCTTCGATCTTGTAGTCGACAGGGAGGTAGACGTCTTCCATGGTAGGGATCTTGCAAACCTGGTCGACGGGATACTGCTCGATAACAGGGAGCTGGTTCCACATGAGGCCGGGAGGACCCTCCTCACGGGGAAGAGGAAGGAAGCGACCAACACCAGTCTTGGCTCGATCATCACCCTCCCACTTCATCTCCGCCATGGAAGGCCAGGGCGCGATCTCATCCTTACCATTCTGCCAGTCGTTGCACCAGATAGTCTGCTCACCGAGAGCGCGACCGTAGTTTCCAACGTCTTCGAAGTTGCCTTCGATACCGCATCTATTGAGGACCTTCTGAATATCTCCTGGGATCGGAGCTAGGATAGCTCTGGCGTCTTCCTTGTTCTTAACCTTGGTGGCAAGCTTGCTCGCCTGCGATGCTAACATCGCTTCCTTGTGGGCAACGTAATCACTGAGCTTCCACTTGGCAACGTCGGAGTTTCTGAATAGACGGCGCATGGCGTTGCGAACCATAAGAAATCCCTGCTGCACTTGCGCGTCTGGAGATACCCAGGTTCGCGACTGGCGAAAGCCTCCGCCACGAACGCCGTAGGGAGCATCTAGCTGGCGATCGCCACGAAAGTCACGAACTGGGGAACGATAGGTGCTTGACTCGTTGTGTTGCTTCTGCATGCGCCCGAAGGGGTTGTTGTAACGGTCTACGCTGTTCTTGCGGAGCTCGACACCACCACCGGTGATAGCCAGGCTACTGAAATTGAGGCTCGCTGGGCTGATGGGACTGCTGGGAGTTGGGAGACTGTTGCTGCTGGAGCGAACGTCAGAGCTCTCATCATCATGAAGGGTGTCACCACTAGTATCGGTCTTTAGAGACGTGGCTCCATCGCCCGCTGGAATAGGTAACTGAGGTTTGCGAGGGGTCGCGACTGAGGCGCCGGCTGCAACTTTGATAGGATCGGCCATCGAAGGTGACATCGAGCGAATTCTGATGTGAGTGTTGAGAGAATGGAAGCGGAGACTATGCAATACGTTCACACCCTTGAAGTTAAGGAAGGGCGCTTTTCGACTTTGCGTGAGTATGTAACGTACGGGAAATTTGTCCGATGTAGTGGAGAAGGGCAAGTGTTGAGACTGTGATGTTCAAGTCTGATATACCCAAAAGTTGGCAGTGGTAAAGGTCCAAGCGGGAGTAAGGCACCAGGACGGTGTGTATTTTCCCAACTATGCATGCATATCAATTAGCAATGATTCACTACCAGTGCGCTGGAACACATCGGGGCAACCGTGTCACCGCTTGCACCATTGCGATCGATACGACTTTGCTGCCCGAACACATGGTTCGCGGGGTGAGATAGATAGCGTGTGTGTTTCCATCATTACGAAGAGAACCAATAGCAAACTCCTTAATTCGACACCGCCCCCGGGGGACGCTGAGCGGATATGCAATGTAATTCTGTCACCTACCTGATGATGATCTGGACCTCGCAAATGCGGGGTCTATGAGATAGCCAATAACACGACAAGGTGTCAGAATGCTTGGAGGCTAGACCTTAAAGTGAGCGAGGGCGGTGTAGTTGACTGCTTGTATGTAAAAGCTTACTAGAAAAGGAATCGTTCAGTTGAGTAGGATTTTGAACGATGTCCTTACTAGAAGAGGTTTTGCGTTATGAATCTGTCTTATCGTAGAGCTGAGAGCTGCCTGGCAAATGTCTTAGTGGTCATAGGGCCTGCCTTGTGATGATAGAAGAGTGAGAACAGAAACATACGTGTTGTGCGATTGAAGCTATTGTGCTATCAGTGGAAGCGTGCGATATCGGTCACAGGGCCCCAGGTACGTGTCCACCTGCTCGACCGGCAGTGAATTAAGCGGTGGATAGACGATGATGCGCTACGATGTTGTAAAAGCGGTGACGCTTGAAACTGTATGCGATGTTTTGGGCTCCGCGATTTTCGAATTGCATGGAAAGAGGAAGTACGGAAGGAAATTATTTGAGCGGGCTCTGGAAGGCTGCGGTCGTTTGGAAAGTGGAAGAATCCAATCTGTATTGCAATTCGTTAATAAAGTTACGTCACGTCCGAGAATGCAAAAGCCGAGCAAAAGAGGTTCCAGATAGAGTTTGGCGCGAAAGCAGTGAACGAGTGGGCAATGTGGGGTGCGTAAACAAGAGGTAATTGTCTGTCGGTGGGGTAGGTGAGGTTATCGTCACAGAGCACGGCCTGCACGAGCGTACTGCAGAGGTGACGCCCAAGCTTATAGCGAACAGACGAGGAACGTGTTGGACGTTCACCTCACCACTCTTCGCAACAAAGGGAGAATCCGAACGCAGAGAATGATAGATGAGAACGAACGACGGTCAGCGACCAGCACTGTAGAGGAAATGACAAGCAGACAGAAACCATGGATAAGAGACGGAACGGAGGAAACGGAAAGATGATTACGTGAAAAGAAGAAGAGAGCTAGGAATTTGACTCGAGGGACTGTTTTGTAGCCCAATCGACAGATCATGAAAGGAAAGCACGTTCGAAAGACATCAACTGCGACTGACATGAGGAAGTTACTGCCCAGGATGCGAGTTGATCACAACGGATCTCACCAAGAGACATGCATCGCAGAACTTATACTCTCGTGAATGAAAACATCTCGGCGAGAGGGAGATAGAATCTGTAGACTACAACTTCGATAATGCGGGCTTTTGGGGTCGCTATAACGTTGGTTCAGAAGTGCAGGCTACTACCTAGGCAATCCGCACTTTCAACATCAGGTTCTCAACTCGCCGGCCGGGTCCATGAAAACAGCGACCTGCTGGACGGAAATAGCAACGACTAAGAACACGATGAGATGCAGAAACTGTTGGCAGTGCTGGCGGGTCGTGATGTGATGTCTAGGCAAGTCCGCTGTTCTGAGCCCTGAGAAGGTGGGACACGGAAGACGTGTTCATAAGCGGGAATGTTCGTGTCAATATATGCAGGCGATCGTCACTGCAGATGTTGGAAAGCGGGTAATCGTTGTTGTCGTTGATGCAGCGAAAATGTTTCGAAACAGAATGGGGATGAAGTTGGGACGACGGCGACCCGTGTTTGAGCCTCAAGAAGAAGGGAAGGTTGATTGGACAGCAGCGGTCGACGCGTTAGGCCGCTTACTCCACACCAGCGCGCGCGCTACGCCGCAGCCACGCATACGAGAACTCGCGCATTGACACAGATACCCGGTCCAGACATGTCCAAGTTCAAGTTTGACGGCGTCGAGCTTGACTATGGGGGCTACTATGGAACTTCATTCTTGTGAGCCACTACTGTTGAAACTTAGGTGTTGTGAAGTTTGTTGTTCTGACGGCTGCAAAAGGCTGGACTGGGTATGACGTCTTCGCTAGCTGCAGAAATCAAGGCATGACGGCGCCACAGGCCTTTCAGACAGCCGTGCGGCGCGACGTTGCTACATAACGGCGGCGTCGCGCATCTCCCGGAGCTTTGAGCACCTCCTCTGCCAGCGACCGACGTTCAGAGGTCGTGTTCCCTTGCGCCCGACAACCTTAGCATCCTGCGACGATCCCACACGTCACGAGGGAGTGCATCCGCCTACCTCGCTCGACTGCGGGAAAATCGCATGCCAATGGGCGCAAGCCGTGGAACAAAGGACACCCGGCTCAACTTGCGACAACCACTCGAGGACAAACCGGCCCAGAATAACAGACGCTGTCAATCCCTTCTGTTCTAGCGCCTTGTTTTGAGCCTTCTCCAGCTGACCGGGCTGACTGGTCCGGAGTGGCTTGCTCCACTTCTGCGGGCGCCTATTCGGGCCACCACCTTTCCCAGAATCGCTGTGTTCTAACTTGAGCCTCACGATCTTGTATGCCCTGCTGGAACTATCTGGTCGTGCAGGTCTCTTCTCGAGGTATCATTGGTACCTGGTGGAGAGGCCTGCAACTGGTCCTCGCTTCCTCGCGGTACGTGAAATCCATTCATTTTACCCTAGTCGCTGTGAAGTAGATATTCACAGCGTCTTCTCCACTTCAGTCACCTTCACCTTGCCTGCTTCAACATCACCTTTTCTTATTGCATTGTACGGAGCGTTGGGTTTTCCTATTGTTGTCTATTGTCTTCACATTGCAATACTCGCCTAATACTTTTCCTACGTTGCAACCTATCTCTGCGAGACATTCATGAGCTAGCTGGCCTACTTCTACGACTGCACCTGTTTACGAAGCTACCACCGATTTCGACCCCCGATTCTAATACACTGGCCAGACCACGTTTCACAGCCATACATCTTCGCCATGGCTTCCTCCGCGAACCAACAGCAACTCTTCCCACCTGTGCCTCCATCTATGTCCGCTGGCGATAGTCATGAGATGCGAGACTACTACCCACCGCAAGATGCACCACGACCTACAATAAACCAGACACCAAACTTCAAACCATACCTCGGCCTTCGAGCTAGGCTCTCACAGATATGGATCAATCGCTGGACGATTCTACTGCTCCTAGTCCTTGTGCGACTGCTCATCGCCATCGCAAGCACCGACTCAAGCCTGGTTTCCGCCCGTCGGGAAGCCCTCAGTGCTTGCACCCAAGTTGAGAACATTGCTAGCTCCATGGCTTCCATGCCCCACTACATGTCCAAAGGCGTCAACGAAATGACAGCTTCCGGTGTTGAGAAGGCAGTCAGTGGCCTCATGCAAATGCTCGAAATGAGTGTCACTGGTGTCGAAGAGATCATCCTCTTCGTCATTCATATGATGACACAAACCTACCTCTGCCTGATCACCCTCGCTGTCAGCGGCAGTCTCCATGCCGCAGTGGAAATTGGCGAAGCTATCAACAAACAACTCGACGAGACCATCAACTCCGTTACCGACGAAATGGGCGACGCCGTCAAGTCCGTTTCTGACGGCATCAACTCCATCATGGACAAAATCAACTTCAATATTCCGGGATTCAACAAGCCAACCATCAATTTGGACGATCAGATCAAGAAACTCAAAGCGCTGGAGATGCCTCCTGACATGTCAGAGGGTCTTCAGAAGCTCAACTCGTCCATCCCGACTTTCGCAGAGGTGCAAAACTTTACGGACTCCATTATCCGCCTACCTTTTGAGGAAGTCAAGAAGTTGATCCGCGGCATGGACACATTCGAGTTCGACCGCTCAGTTCTTCCCGTGCCGCAGAAGGAAGCACTCACCTTCTGCTCCGATGGCAACTCTATCAATTCGTTCTTTGACGACTTGATTGAGCTTGCTTACAACGCACGCAAGATCGCTCTCGGTGTGCTCATTGTCGCCGCCATCCTTGTTTGCGTTCCGATGGCGTGGATGGAGATGCGCCGCTACCGGAAGATGCAAGAACGTGCTGCTCTCTTTGGAGAGGGCCATGAGGCTATGGACGTCGTCTATCTCGCGTCCCGCCCAACATCTTCTGGCATCGGCCTGTGGTTCGGAAGGCGCTTTGGCTCAGCTCGTCGACAAGCTGTTATGCGCTGGGCCTGGGCCTATGCCACCTCCATCCCCATGATGTTCTTGATCTCTCTGGGCATCGCTGGTCTTTTCGCCTGCTTTTGTCAATATCTCTTGCTCAAAGCCATTGAAGACAAGACCCCAGAGCTCACGGATCAAGTCGCTGACTTTGCCGGAAAAGTCGTTACATCGCTCAATAATGCGTCCATGTCATGGTCTAACGGCGTCAACGGCGCCGTCGGTGACTTGGACAGCAAGATTAACGACGACATCTTCAGCTGGGTGAACACCAGTACGACGGCTGTCAACGACACCCTCAACGCGTTCGTAGATCAGATGAGCACCACGCTCAACGACACGTTCGGTGGCACCGTACTCTACGACCCGATCAAGGAAGTTCTCAACTGCCTGATCGGCCTGAAGATCGCTAGCTTCCAATCTGGCCTCACTTGGGTCCAAGAGCACGCGCATGTCCAGTTCCCTGGCGTCGCAAACGACACATTCTCTCTTGGCGCCCTTGCTGAGAAAGGCGACTCAGACTCTGCCAGCCAACTACTCGCTGATCCGAACGGCAAAGCAAAGGACGAGATTACCGAAGCTGTCGAACGCGTTATTGACAAGCTGATGAGTGGTATTCAAACCGAAGCGCTCATCTCCACCGCCTTAGTCCTCATATGGCTCTTCATTGCCCTCGGTGGCCTTGTCTACGCTTCGACGCATCTCTTCCGCCGTGATGATCCAGAACGCGGACTCAACCCTTACGTCGTCAACCCTGCTCTCGACCGCGATCCCAAAGCTAGCGTCGATTACCCCACCACTGCGCCGCCGCAATACGTGCCCAACGACTATAACGTCAATAAAGCAGCGCCTTACACGCTCGCACCCCGTCCCTTCTCGACATTCGAACACAGCGGCGATGAAATCACGCCCGCAACAGAGAAGGTCGGCCAAGTTGGCGCACGCGCGGTGACCGATTCCGCTCGCCCAGGACATCTTCGTACGAGTAGCCATGGTCAGCTTGCTGACCCCTCACCGGCTGATGACCGCTCGGGTCCTTTTTCAGACCCTAATCAATACGCTCAGTCGCCCTATCCGCAGGAAAAACAGCAGCGGAATCCGTTCATCTAAGATTTCGATCCGTATTTTGTCGAATATTACAAGTAAGATCAGTTCCGTCGACCACCTGACCTTTTTCGGGCTTGCCCTTCTGCGTCAACCGGTCAACGAACTGGTCCCAACTACTAGACAATTATACCGAACCTGACCGACCTGCGATGAGCCGTAATTGCTCAGACCGAACCTTGCGTTTGAAGTTTTTCTTCTCCCTTCTTTCACGATGATGCGATAACACGCTCTCTGGGGAAGGGAATTTGGCACATGTTTTACTGCGTTGATGAAGCTTGCTTCTCCGCTTTTGCATGTGTCGGTGTTTCGATTCTTTACATTTTTCTTTCAACACTCCAACTATGTAAATTTTCTTTGTGTTTATTTGTCTTGTGTCATTGCTCTCTCTTGCGGGCTGCGTGTTGGATTGATATCCCCTCATCGCTACAAGTTTGACAGTGAAGCTCTGCAGACAGACTATCCTCATCTTTTCCATCACGTCTCCCTGCTACACGAGACGCGGTGTGTGTCTGTCTGTAGATGTCTTTCCATCAAATGATGAGGTCTGTGTATATCTCCTTGAGTATGTCTGTCCCCGAGGTCCCTTACGCCCGATCCTCTGTCCCGCCCTCCTACCCCCGTTTCCCTTGCTCTTCATTCCACCCCTCGACGCTGTATCGCCGCCGCACCCCGCCTCGCCGTTGGCTTGCCCGCTTGGCGCGCTGCATAGGCGACCTCTTGGTGTGCATAATGATCATGAGCTCAAGGCCGCAATGGGGGTGGTGTTGTGTTGCGGGTTATGAACCGGCAATATGTTGGATATGACTCGCTCATTCGCCACACCTCTCCTACTTCTGTAGAAAGTGGAGAGGTTGATGTGCTGATTGGTAACAAGCGTTGTGCTTTCCTCCTGTTTTCCTTTCCTTCCAATATTATGCGAGGAGCGTTGGGAGGAGACAAGGAAGATATGTTGACGTTGAAAGCCGACATTTTTGTGTTTGTTTGTACGGGTGAAGCATCCTCGTCCCCTTTGGATGAAGGGTTGGTTTTTGCTGTGTTCTTTTCCTCTGAAGAGAACCGCCGCCTGAGTTGATCCTGTGAGGCGCTTTGCGCCCGGGACTTGTTATTCCAGTCGTTTCTGAGAAGGAGGTGGTGCTGGATGGCCCGAAAGAAGCTTGAACCCACTCGAGTGGTGTGTCAGTGGGTGTGAAAATGAGGGAGATGGCCCTGCCGAGATACAACGCATGATGGGCCACCGGTAAAAATTCAACTATCTTCCCTTATCCTGTATTGCACAGTCATGTATGTTTGAAGTTAGTCCCACTCGCTCATCCAGCAACACCCACTCTCATTCTGTTACTCGCTCGAAGTGCCTATTAATCGGGCGAGCACCTTAGGTAGATTAGATAGATTATCAATGCACAGCATCTGATCTCGAGACGACGACGCCCAACGTGACTGACGACTCGTGTGTTTGATAGTGGAAGCACGTAACTATGGAAGCCTTAGGGTGGCGCACGTGGCTGGACCCTGGCCAAAGCTCCGCGGCAATGACGATGGACCGCCGAGCTCCAGGCGCATGCCAACACCCATGGAGCTTCCCTTTGGCACAGCAGCCGTCGCATAGCGACTCGACCATGCCCAAATGATATCCAAGTCGACGCAATAGCCACAATGCTCTCTGCCTTTACTGCCCGGCCCATTGTCGAGCTCAAGGCGCGCGACAAGTCGAGGATCGAGTCCATCCTCGCATACGGTACAGCAACCGACTGCATCGTATCTCAAGCGTACTAACATAGCCAGGCGACCGTGTACTTGTTGGCCTGAACACGGGTGCTCTGCGCATCTACCGTGTGAATGACCAGATCGAGGATGTAGAAGCCGACCGCAAGCAGAACGGCGACCACAACGGTGAAAGCGAGCCTCCAACAGCACCCAAAGCCAGACCTGCCGATCTCCTACGCGAAGAAGAGAAGTTCTCCCGGCGACCGATACAACAGCTGGCGATTATCAAAGAAGCGAATATCCTCGTCTCGCTTTCGGACAACTATGTCTCGATACACGATATACAAACGTACCAGCTGCAGGAGAAGCTAGAGAAGACTCGGGGTGCGACTACCTTTGCGGCGGCAAGTAATATCGTCAAGGATCCTTCAACGGGCATACCATCCATTGTGAGCCACCTGGCTGTGGCGGTGAAGCGGAAGATCATACTGTGGACATGGCAGGACATGGAGTTAACGGGCGACGCGGTGGAGATCTCGCTCATTGCTTCTGTCAAGAGCCTGACGTGGGCGACAGGGACAAAGATTGTCGCTGGCATGGATCCCGGCTTCGTCATGGTTGACATCGAGACGCAGGAGGTCCAAGACATAATCAAGCCAGGCGCGCTGGCAGAGAATGGGAGCCAGGGCGGAGCACGTTTTGGCGCTGTCTCGTCGTCAGGCATGGGATACATGGGCATGGGAAGTTGGGTGCCCAAACCACTCGCGACACGACTTGGAGAGGGCGAATTGTTGCTGGCCAAGGACGTCAACAGCCTGTTCATCGACACAGACGGAAATGCCCTCGAGAAACGACAAGTGCCCTGGCAGTCTGCCCCTGAGACAATCGCGTATTCGTACCCGTATATGCTCACACTGCTGCCACCGTCCAAGGGCAGTCTGGAAGTCAGGAATCCGGATACGCTGAACTTGCTACAGATGATCTCACTACCAAACGTCAGCTTCCTTCACGTGCCGCAGCCCAACATCAGTCTAGCCCACGCCGGGAAGGGTTTCCTCGTTGCGAGCGATCGATGTATATGGCGGATGGGAGCGCAGAGCTACGAAACACAGATTGATGAGCTCGTCGCCAATGGGCGCTACGACGAGTCGCTAAGTCTGCTGAATATGCTCGAAGACACTCTGCTCCTCGATAAAGAGGAGAGGGTTCGGGAGATACAAATCTTGAAAGCCCAGGCCTTGTTCGACCAGAAGAAGTACCGTGAAGCCATGGAACTTTTCGTCGACGCCAAAGCACCGCCTGAGCGCGTCATCGCAATGTACCCCCGATCCATCGCTGGCAATCTAGCGCCAGAAGAAAGCGTAAAGGGCGACGGAAGCGTGGCCGACGAGGAAGAAACCAACGGAGAGAAGCCCGCCAAAGAACAAGAAGAAAGCACACCCGCCCCTGTAGCTACCATCGGCCGCTCAATGATGGGTCGTTTCGGCGTTGGAGGACACAAGAAAGTCGATTCGGACACAGCTTCCATACGCACCAACTCGGCCAAAGACGACACCATGGAAACAGCCAGCATCCGGAAGAGACCAACAGACCCCTCCTCCCAGCCAGATAAACCCGCCGCCGTTGAAAAAGAGTTCAAAGACTCTGTTCGCGCGCTACAGTCGTTTCTTACTCAATGTCGTGTCCAGATCAAACGGTATATAGACACCGATGGTAATCTGAAGGAACCTCTCCCTACGCCCAGTGGCAGTCAGCTCGAAGCTGATAAACCACCCTTCCACATTTTCATCGAAGAGTCCTCCCTCACGTCTCCCATAGACTGGAAAGCCAAGCTCCTTGACGTTGCCCAGCTCGTCGACACAACGCTTTTTCGCGCGTACATGATTGCGAACCCCAGTGTCGCAGGCTCTCTATTCCGTCTCCCCAACTTCTGCGAACCAGACGTTGTGCAGGAGAAATTGTACGAGACGGGGCGGTATGCCGATTTGATTGATTTCCTGCATGGTAAGCAATGTCCTTTTCCAAGTGCTTGTGATGCATACACTAACTGTGTACATGTGTGTTTAGGCAAGAAATTGCATCGGCAAGCTCTGGAGCTTCTCGAGAAATTCGGCAAGAACGAGGCGGACGAAGAGGTGAGTCCGCAGTTGCAAGGCCCGACTAGGACGGTGGGCTATCTACAAGCATTACCGCCAGAGCTTATCGATCTTATCCTGGAATACGCGGAATGGCCACTGAGGATTGACCCGAAGTTGGGCATGGAAGTCTTCCTCGCTGATACACAGAATGCGGAGGAGCTGCCGAGGGACCGTGTCCTCGAGTTTCTGCAAAAGATTGATACAAGACTTGCGGTCAGATACTTGGAACATATCATCGAAGAGCTCAACGATCTTAACGTGGACTTTCATCAGAGACTTGTTGATCTACTCCTGGAAAGACTTAAAAGTGGGGAGTTTGACAACGACGAGGAAAAGATGGATTGGAAGCACAGGCTTGAGGTTTTCCTGAAGAAGGGGAATGCGCAGTACAATCGGTATAGGGTGTTTCAGCAGTTGCCTGGGAATGGTATGCATCATCATCTCCGACGAGAAAGAAGATCACAGTAGGAACAGCTTTACTGACATGGTGACAGATCCGGATTACTACGAAGCTCGAGCCATCGTCCTGAGCAAAATGGGATCGCATAAGCAAGCCCTGGCGATCTATGTCTTCCAATTGAAGGACTACCAAAAAGCTGAGGAGTAAGTCGCTTAACCCAATTTTCTTGGTAGCAAACCAGTTGACCCGCCAACCTACAGATACTGCAACCAGGTCTACACGGCACCACCCACCACACCCACCTCGCCCAACTTGTCCCACTCCCAATCCCCTCCAGCAACAAGAGGCTCAATCGAAGACACGGAGCTATCCATCTACCACGTCCTACTCCCCCTCTCCCTGCAACCCCCACCGCCGCACCAACCAAACTGGCCCCCAGCTCTCGACCTCCTCTCGAAACATGGCGCAAGACTGCCTGCAGCAACTACTCTGGATTTGATCCCCCCAACTCTGCCTGTCAAAGACCTCGAATCCTACTTCTTCGGACGCATCCGAAATGCAAACTCGCTCTTGAACGAAGAGAGGATAGTCGCGCAGCTCCGCGGCGTAGAAAAGGTTGCTGTGGAATCGGCCGTGTTGCTCGGCCCAGAGAGTAAGAGGGACATGTACGGTAGGAGCGTGCCTGGGGGGTTGAACAGGCGTGTCGTTATCGATGAGGATAGGCATTGTGCGGTTTGCCATAAGAGGTTTGGTGGGAGTGCGATTCGTGTCTTTCCAGATAACAGTGTGGTGCATTCGGGATGTATGAGGGGGAGCGTGGGGCTGGGGATCGGTGGTGTGGGAGGGGGGAGGAGGTCGGCGAGTGGGGTGGGTGGAAGTGGATGGCGGTAGGCAATCGTAGTTGTAGTGCTCAATCTTCATCGACAACTTCTTCTCCATACGTCTCCTCGTCTTTTGCATCGTCGGCGGCCTTGTCGTCGGCCATTTTTTGAGTGAGGAATTCGTTGACGTCTTTTTGGAGGGTCCGGAGAGATGATGACAGAGAAGTGAGGTATGCGACGCGGTCGGTGGTTGAGGGTGGTGATGGCAGTGCGGGGAGTTCGGAGGTGAAGGTTTGTGGTGAGGAGGTAGGGGATGTGTATGTTGTTGTTAGAGAAGGCATGTTGGCGTGATGGGTGTCTTGTTTGGATGTAGTGTTGTAGTGGAAGAGGAGTCTGAGGTGGGGTCAAGCGGCCCAGTACCACCGGGGTGGAGACAGCACGGCCACCATGCGTCGATCAACCAACGGCGCATCTAATGAACATGGACGTCAGCTCTTCCTGCGACTTGACGACCCGACTCGATGCTTGGATAGCGCTGCATATGCTACGCTTCTTCATGCAGGCCATGAGGAAATACGACTAGGAGCATATTTTTTCTCCCATCTTCCCGTATCCCCGTATATTCACTTCTCCACCCATACACCTTCTCTTCAGCCACCGCCTCTATACCTTGTCCCTGCAAACAGCCACACGGCCGTCGCAAAAGCAACGGACGCGGTCTCACAAAGGCCGGCGACCACGATGCCTCCCTCTTCACCACCCCCAGCCACCCCCTCGATTCGACGCCCATCGCTCGACGACTCCGACTCGGACGGCACCCAGGCGACGCTGCAGCAACAACGCCGCTCTCCCCTCCCCGCCGCCATACTCTCGCCCTCGTCGGCAAAGTCGCCGACATCAGCAGACTCGCGCGCCGCTCCAGCACAGAACTACCCGCGTCCAGGCATTGTGCGCGATGCTACGCAGAGTTCAGGCCACATTGGCGCGCATCTAGGACACCGCCCACGCCAGCGCTCCCAGGGCTATTTCGAGCCCAGTTTGAGCTCCATGAAGGAGGGCTCCATACGCGACCGAGACAACACCATGGCCTCGCAGACAAACCTTACCGCTTCCCAGATTGCAGCCCAGGCCGCCTATGCCTCGAATCCTCAGCACAATCGCAAGCGCTCCACCACCATACCAGCTCCGAGTGAAGCTGCGCCTACTGGACGCGGCCAGCCCATGAGTCCGCCGCCCATGCCTGCTAATTCCCAGGTCACGTTTAGGACAAACGGCATGACATATTCGAATGGCGTCATGGGAGGCAGGATGGCTGCAACGAGTGCTGCCAACGCCGCGTTTCCTCGCAGTCCGCTGAACTCGCCTGGCATTGAAGGACAGCAACAACAGCAACAGCAACAGCAGCCACACGCATCGCCTAAGCCAGCCTCGTCGACGCCCGAGCTGCCGCAACTGCAGAGACCGAAGGAGGGGAAGAGCAGGCTAGGCGGGAAGCTGTTCTCGTCCAAGCCCAAGAACATCAAGGTGGACAATATGCTGAGCGGCAAAGACCAGGCATTGCCGTCGCCAGGGAAGATTGGTATCGGCATTCATAGCTCGCAGGCGCTGAATCGCATGATGATGGCAGGCTCGACGACGAGTTTAGTTGACTCGGGAACCAACAGCAGTAACGCTTCTTTGTATTCGTCCGCCAACGCATCGACGTCTACACTAGTACCCCCACGCAACGATTCCCTACCAGAGAAGAAGGAAGAGAAGCATAAACACCACTTTTTATCGCGGCAGAAGCACAAACTGAAGGATCAAGATGGCTTTGCTCTCCCATTATCCTCTGCGAGTAGTAATTCTAAACCAACAAACCCTAGCGCTCCCGAGCCGCTGTATTCCTTCGCGCCGTCATCGCCAGGACATTCAAGCTCGTTTGCGAACTCGGTGACGGGCTTGGATCTCAGACACGGTGGCCGGCATTTGCGGCGAGCAAAAAAGGAAGAAAAGGCCGCTGCGTTCCTTGACGCTCAGCTGGAACCTCCGTACCGAGAACGGAACCAGTCGTTTAGTACCGAACGGTCAGAATGGCCGAGTCTTTCTAGCAGTATAACGACGACACCGAATATGGCGACACCCGGTCAAACAATATCTCATACAACAGAGATGCTGCATCTGGGGAGTTCATTTGGCATCAACGGCCTGTCACCCGATGACGCCTGGCCACTGTTAAAAGCAAGGGTATTATTGATATTTGAGGGCGAAGACCCCCGGCCGCCAGTCGAAGACTTCAACGCTTTAGTCACCGTCCACATCAAACGCTGCATCCACAAACGATCCCCCATAATTCTCATTGAGGATTTGAATGAGCTCCTCCAAACGGGTTTCGGCTCTTTAGACCAAACACTACGTCATGTTCCTGACGATCGGCTTATCCCTCATTTGGTAGAAATGTGGCTCGTGGTCTTCACTACCATCCTACCTTTTTTGCAAGCTGTTTTCCTACCGCTAGACTTGGAGTTCCGAGGCTCAGGCATAATGACAAGTGCCCAAGCGGCAGAGTTCTGGGGTGTCATGTTGCCAGACGAAATGAATACCAAGAGTCCTGAACATAGGAATATACCGATACTCGGGGAGTTGGAAGTGAGGAGAATAACGCTGTTGATGTTTAGGGATATTGTGATACTACCACGTTATGAAGCGCTCATGGCCATCTTCTCAAGACTGAGTTTGGAGAATTTGAATGCAGGGTTGGAAAGCCCGAGTCCGATTCCAGATGGCGTTATGAGTGGACAGCAGCAGCAGCAGCAGCAACAGAGGCCGGGTACAGCTGGAAGTAGCAGCGGCGACATGGCCATGGGCAGTCTCAACTCGACATCGCAGAGCTCAGGGGGCTATCTGGAGAGTACGACGAGTATCACGAGTTCGACTTTTGCCGCCAGCACACGCAGCAGAGCGACGAGTAACACGTCGGCTGGTTCCTTTTCCTCCAACCCATCACAACATCCCCCCACCTCGAACCCTTACCAACTCAACCCCCTACATCCTACCATCTCGCACTTGCACCCCCCACCCACCACCTCCCATTCTTCTTCAAACCACAACAATGCCCCTTCGAGCTTGCGCCAGACCCCCATGGATAGCACAAAAGTGACGGAGACTGTGGGCAGAATGCTGCAGTGCGTGTCTGTCCTCGTCTCGTTGCAGTCGAGCGATGATGCGCAGGACAAGATTAGTAGGTTGAGCAAGGAGCTCAAGTATAATTGGTTGGGTAGGGGTAGGACGGGCAGACAGAGACAAGGTTTTGTGGGGCCGAGGAGTAGAGGGCTTAATCTCGCTGCTGGTGGTGTTTCCGTTCCAGGTGTTGGTGCGTAGAAGAGGAGAAGGGCAGGGCAGGGAAGATGAAGAAAAGGAAAGTAGGTGTCGTTGATGTGCTAGTGGTGGTGGCGGCGTGTTTGAGTATATTAGCTATGGGATGATGAAGTACACTTCTCTTCGCAATATATCTCATGAAATGTGTTGTTGCTATCCATGTCTGTTTGTGTGCTTACATCTTACTCTATTCTTTGATGTAGTCGGAGCTATTCTGCAAAGCCAACTATCTGTGTAGACTTCGATGGTCGATCCAACCATAGTGTAGAGACATGGTGATAATTCGAGGAAGTCAAGAGGCAACATGGAGGTGGGTGATAGATGGGCAAGGAGTAGTGACGAAAAGCAAGAAGAAGACAGGAGAAGAAGTAGAATTAGAGGTGATGTTGGTTAGGGATGATGTAAGTCTAAGGTGGGTTTCTTGCAAAATAATTTATCACAAGCCTTGCTGTATCTCCGCTTGCTCATATACATGTCCCTTACTCCATTCTTCAACGTAGCTCAAGCTGTTCTCTGAAGCTGACCAGCGGTGCAGACTTCTTCTCGAGTGCTGAGATATCCTTGGCAATCTCATCCCAGAAAGCACAATTCTCCATTGAGTTCTGCGCATCCCTGCCCGAATTGAAGAGAGGATGATCATGACTCGTATATAACCCCATTTTCAATGAATTTGTTAGCTCGTTGCCGTCATCAACTGTAGGCTCCCAATTCAATCCGCGCCGACCTAGCCAGTTGGGATCGCCAGCAATGGCGTGTCCTGCGAAGTAAGCTTGGAATCTTGGGGCAAAATGTGGCCAGAATTGATCAAACAAGACGAACAAGAGGTCGGGAATCTTGTCCGATGCGTTCTTGAGCAACTCGCTTACGTCGACTCCGCGGTGCCAAATCAGGGCGAACATATCGAAGCCGTGCTGTGCAGGAGGCATATCGAACCTCGCGGTGTAGACAGTAGAGTCGTTGTGGAAAGCGTTGTAGATCTGACGCGTGTTGCAGACAAAGGTCGAGTCGCGCAACACTTTTCTCATGCGCATCTTCTGCTGGGAGTCGAAAAATTTGGCTGGATATTGCTTCTCGATTCGATCCCGAATATTGGCAAGCGCGGCACCGGGAAAGGCATAAGTTAGAAACTCGCTGAACTCGTCTTCTGTATCAACCCATTTCGCAAGGAATAGGCTGACTTCGTCGTGGTCGTGAGACACAATGATCGAACTGCAGCTGGTGTGTTTTCCTAGCCAAGGTTAATATCCCGAGTAGCAAACATCATCTTCGAGCACGACATACCTTTGCTCAACAGAGCAGCTGGGAGCTCTGGCACAAGATCTCCATCCACGGCCGGACCAAATGGAAACATGCCTAGTTTCAAAGCCTCGCTAGTGATGTTTTGGTTGGCTTTAGTCAAGTCGTCCGTGCTGGCCTTCCGGAGACAGTCAAGCGCCTTTGAAGAACACTCGACCTGGTCCGCGAACTTGTGAAAGGTATCTTCCAAGGCTCCAGCACGATCATAACCCCACTGGAATGCAGGGCTCCACATAACAGCCCGATGAAACAGCGGTGTTTTCCCTTTCCCACTCCCGCCATACGCGGTCAGGTGGTGGAGGATGGATCCTGCGCCAGCAGACAAGCCCCATGCGCTCACGGCGTTCTTATTTCCACCCACCTGACCAATGTATCGTTGAACCCAATCTAAGAGAAGGCGCTGGTCGTGCAGTCCAGCATTGGGTTGTGCTTCTTCTTCCATAGTGGAGCCAGCCAAGAAGCCAAACGCTCCCATCCTGTAGTTCCCGGTCACCCAGATGACGCCCTGGTCAGCCACGTCACTGATGCCTTGACCGTCGTAAGCTTGGAAAAGACCACCTGTTGTATTAAAAGCGAGATCCTTCGAGCCGAAAATGTATGCCCCTCCATAGATCCATACGATAACGGGAAGCGGATCCTTGTCTACGCCTGAATCTGGCTCCAGAGCCCACGAGGGAACATACACATCGAGGAACAGGCAGTCCTCTGCTTGGGTGCTACTATCGTCTGTAGGTTCTACAGTCACGTTCTCCTTGGGTATTTTGGCTTGAATACAGCTCGGCCCATAGGTGTTGTCTTGAACTTGTTTGGGGTCTTCGATTGCTTCAGGGTACTTTGGTGCTGCGAAGCGCAAGTCACCGACAGGAGCTTGACCGAAACGGACGTTCTTGAAAATAGTTGTCTATATTATCCAGGCAAGAGATCGTTAGTCCAGATTGTTCACTCACATTCTAGATATCGGGGCGATGCTCGATTTACCTCTTCATATACGCCGTACGGCTGTCCTTCCCATGTTCCCCATGGAAGGGTTAGCGTGGGAGTAGAGTCCACTGTTAGTCGTGATACCCGTCGGGCATCAATTGGCAGAGCCAATGATGCAGCCAGGAGTAAGACCGTAGAGCCAAGCATCTTTTCAACCTCGAATATAAGAAATCCTTGGTCGAAGTGTGGGTGAGGTATCAATAGTGTACTGAGCGGCTGCTCTTTATACATCGTCCAGCTGTATCCGTTACAACGGTCTACCTAGGTAGGCATTGTTTTTTCGTGCATCGTTTCGTTTTTCTGCAACATCACGTAGTCTTGCATGTGAGTATCGTCGCTGCTAAGAAGGCGGCTTAGGTATTCCATGCGAGCATGGAGATGGCTAGACTGTAGTCTGTGTGGAGTTGCTCGGGATCGCCCGCACGTGTACGACCTAGTGGAGCGGTCCGCTGCTATCGCGTTCGTATCGTTGGACAGCTTGCGTGAATCACAGCCGAAAAAGCATTCTGATGAGCAGAGGCTAAGAATGCCCAATGCCTGTGTTTGTATGTTTGCGTGATTATCATCTCTTTCGCGAACCTATCCAGGCTTAGTTTTTCCCGCAACCACATTTCGACCACACAGCTGAAATATGATCGCCGTCTCTCTTGCCCATACGACTGAACTACTCGCAGCGCACACGTACTTGACACGGATGGACTCATTTGAAGAACCTCACAAGTGTGGGGTTCTGGTCAAAGCCGATGATGAGGGGTAGCAGAAACTGAGTGCTTTTTCGGTCAACCAAACTTTGAATGCAGGAAGAAAGTATGCAGATAGAACGATCCGCCAGCATGCTTGTCTTAACCCTTGATATTCTCCACAAATCTTTCCAACTGCGCATCTTCTATCGGCTGTGCCGCTATTTTCTCACGTCGGTTTGTCAAAGGCGACGCTGACGACGACGATGCTACTAGCGAATATCTTTCTCCTTATACTTCAGGGATATGACTATGCTGCCGACGGTTGCAAAGGTAGCGAAGGTGACGCCGGTGACGTTGCTGGTCGTGATGGTGCCGTGGCCTCTGACTACTTAGGCTAACGCGGTACTGCCTTCGTAAATCACGTTGATGCCGTTGATACTGCTCACAAAGTTTTAGTAATTTCCCAGTTTGGATATTGTATGTGAGGTGTCCAAACACGATCTAGGTGCGTCTCGATGACAGCGGAAGCTCTCAACGAAACGCGCAACATGGGTCGTGAATGTAATTGCCTACTTGGGAGATTGAGTATTCCCTTGAAAGCGTCTCTACCATGTTGTACTTCTATCGAATAACCCCAAGTTAGTGGACACAAGCATGATAGTAAGTTCTCTGCTTTGTAAGATGGACGTCATCGACGTCATAGGTCATTGGTCATTGGTCATTGGTCATCTACATGTATAACAACATTGATCATGTCGGCTACTTGCCAAAAGTTAATACATCAGATACCATTGTATGTTCTCAAAGCCATAATTACTGAGCTCAGTCTACCTGACCTTCCATCTTCCAATATGCCCACAGCAGTAATCACGGGTGCAAATTCCGGCATCGGAAATGCCCTTGCCAAAATTCTCATTAGAGAGGTAGGCGATGATTCCTAGAATCTACTCTATTGCAAATACCCTGACATGCCAACATAGGACTACAAAGTGATAGCGGTAGACAAAACCCTCGGCCCGGTCATCAAATCTCTAAACTGCTTTACCCATCAACTCGATATCTCTTCGTCGGAATCCATAAACGCTTTCGCCCAATCCATCACACATGACACATCTATCGACCTCCTCCTTCATGTCGCAGGCGTCATGTCCCCACCCTCCTCAGACAGCCTCACAACAGTCTCTCTCTCCACTCTCCAGAACACCTTCTCCGTAAACACCTTCGGCCCGATCTTACTAACGCAAGCCCTGCTTCCCAACATCCGCAAGTCCTCGTCTCCAAAGCTTGCCGTGGTTTCAAGTCGCGTAGGCAGCATGGCGGATAACAGCTCCGGTGGCCAATACGCATACCGCGCGAGTAAAGCGGCCGTAAATAGCCTTTTCAAGAGCGCGAGTGTGGATCTGAAAGACGAGGGTGTGGCGGTACTTGTGTTGCACCCGGGAATTGTTAAGACAGCGTTGGATGCTAGACATAAGGAGGAAGATGTGCCAGGCGCGGTGGAGCCGGAGGTAGCGGCGGAGGGTTTATGGGATGTGCTGAGTAAGAAGGGGATGGAAAGTACAGGGATGTTCTTCCATCGGAGCGGAGAGGAGCTGCCCTGGTAGGTGGCGATATTTACATAGTATGGGGCTAATTTATATATGTATTCGAATAGCTGGGATGTTGATCTATCAAGAGCACTGAAAGTATATACAACTGAATTCGATGACCGCTGGTCTCAGAAAGCCAACCTAATGCGCGAACCGGAAATCTAATCGTTTGTTCCCTTCTTCCTTCGTGGTTTCCAGATACGTCTCCTTCTCTTCCTTTGTCATGCTTTGCCAAATCCTATCTCTCTTCTTATTCACAGTAACGTAGTAAAACTTCGCTCCGATGAAAAGCAGAAAGTTGTACGCGCAAATCGCGATCAGAACCTTGTTTCCCCTCCGGTAAAGCGGTTTGTCGTCGTCTCTGTAGATATTCTGGCTGATGATGCTACTCGCCTGCACTGTCATGTTGTACATCGCACTGGCCACGGTACGGGTCCGCACTGCGCCAGCGTTACGTGAAGTGATTGCAACGAGGATAGCGTGAACATATGGGTGACCGACGAGGAGAGTTGAAAGTACCCAACGTGACCATGGAGATACGTCTGCGGGGAGCACTTCGAGGGCGATAAGGAGTGGAAGAGCCCAGACTTGGGAAATGAGACCGACAAGAAAGCGTTGATTGAAGCGCTCGGATATGTACGTCCATGACAAGAGCTGTAAGATGAACAGTACGTATGCCGGGATCTATAAATTTCAGTTCCGTCAGATATCTTCCCAGTCTTGGTACTTACGGTAAGTAGATTGGTTTCGAATGTTCCGAAACCGAGCGATCGAAGTTGAAGCGTAAGATACGCCGTCGACGGTGTAGACGGTATAGTCCAGGATAAACCGATCAAGTAAATTGGCCACATGTGGTAGTCCTTGATACACTCCCACAGCATGCGGAAGCTCAGACCCTGTCTGTTGTGCATATCGCCCTTGCTGGGGTCATCCCTCAGAATACGGTTCACCATGATTTTCTCTTCCCTCTCGTTGAACCATCCATTCTCTCCACGGAAGGGGTTCCAGGTCTTGCTTGCAGTCTGCGTTGGACTTGGCGGCAGGTAGAACCATGACGCGATACCGATCAAGCCTGTCAACATACCCTCGAGAGCGAATAACCAACGCCATCCTTCCATGCCGTTGTGCCCACGCAGACGCAGAATACCGAAAGCCAAGAAGGCAGAGACAATCGATGTGGACTGGTAGCTCACCCAAAACCAACTCAATCGCCCGGGTAGTTCCCACCCAGTGTAGAAGTAGCTGAGGTAAAGGATATTGTCGGGAATGAAACCACCCTCTATCAAACCCAGAAGCGCACGACAGGCAAAGAACGAGCTACGACCGCTGAGAAAGGCCTGCAAGCTAGCCACGAGACTCCAGCTTACCATCTGAATAGGAATCCAGTTGTCAGGTCCAAGTTTCTTGCTAATGAGCTGAGACGGAAGCTCCGCACACAAGAAGCAGAGGTAGAAGATGGTCTGGCCATAGTTGTAGTCGTTGGTGTTGATGTTGAGGTCGTCGAGCATGTTGTCACTGAGTGCTTGAGAGATGTTGCCTCGATCAAGTTGCAGTGCGAAGAACATTAGGCAAGCCCAGGTGCAGATACGCTTGTCGATCTGTAACAGTTCAGCAAGAGTATCATAATCTTTCTGATACAGTGCCGTGTACCTTTCGCACCAAACGCTTCTCCTCTTTCTTCTCCCACACAAAGTCTGGATCATACCGATGAATACCTTCATAAGACTCTACAGGTCTGTAGTGGTCTTTTCCAAGTCCTGCCGAGACAAAGGTCGTGCCATCCTTTCCTTTCGTACCGGATCCGTCGACTGAAGTGTCGCTGCTGTTGGCGCTCCCAGTAGTGTCGTACAGCGCTTTAGCGCCGACAGGGTATTCGTCAGCGCTATTGCCCATATTCGGAGATGAATCTTTCCGAGAGAGTCGCTAAAGTGTCAAGCTCTTGGACATCTTGGGATTGTCTTGGAGGACATCTCTCCATTATATCAGTGAACGCTCCCTCGCCCGTCGACTCGTGCGATGGCCAGCCCATGTACAAAGCTTCTGGACTTGCGCCTTCTCGGAGGAAAAGTGTTGCAATTTTGCTAGCGCTACAACGCATGATGACCGTATATCCACCAACTATCAATCCACCTTCGCCATCACTGCACTCCCCAATCGCATTCGGATTTCTTTGCTATCCGCGGAAGTATCAGCGACAAGGGCCTTCCCGTGGCCCGCAAGCACGCAAACTGTGGATGTTATGTTGCAGCAGAGCATAACTTTTGTCTCCAGTAAATCCGAGGTTGATTCGTTGTCGTCTTCTACCATGGGGGATTGCGTGATTGGCTGGGGTGTTGGCGACATGGATAAGGAACACCATATCCACCATTACCCCAGCGGGCCGTGCGGAGATTATTCTGACGCCAGAAAAGCCGTATATTCGACATCGCGTGGGATGGTTCGGCTGTATGAAGCCTTTCGCAAGTCGACAGTCTTTCCTACTCGCGGATAGTGTGGGGCGGGAAGTATGTATGAAGCAATACAGTGCATGCTTGATGCAATCTGATCGCTTCCTGATTGATCAGGCATATCGCGGCAGTCGTTCTTCCTGGATCGCCAAGGTGTATCGCTTGACTGCGACACCCGATAACAGTGGCAACTCGCCACTAAGTTTGTGAGAGCGGGGTTGCGCATGTCCAACGTCAGGGCCTGACGTCGAAGAACTGCTACTCGCGGTAATAATGCGATGTCGGGTAGACGTCGGGCATATAAGGCTGCGCGATGTATGATACAACGTCCTTTCAAATTGACGCTCCTACAAACATCAACTGAGTAGAGAGGTCTAGTAGCAACATGGCTCCAGCTCTTATCGAAGAAGTCACAGAACAGACTACTG